TATTATCAGCTTTTCCTTTTGCCACTATGCAAACTGTAGCGCCATTGCATTTCATTGTAACTTTCCATACATGCAGGAAGATTAAGGCTGGAGTCTTCGGAACACTTAGCAGAAAGTAAGAATAAATGAACACAGTGGTGCTTATTTCTTAGTAAGCAGGTTTAAGATTATGCTGTGGATTCCTGCAAACATTTACATTTAAAAAATGTCCCCAGTGTATTATTATTATTTCTAGTAGTATTACAACCACTGTTACCACTGCTACTTACACTGTCTTTATGGCCCAGTAGCATCTTACACATAAAAGTATTAAATATCTCAGTAGAACAGCTGCAAAATGGTAATGAAACAAAACAAAACAGATACTGCATTGCTAGTGGCGACTGAACTCAGCATTCTGTGCTTTTACTGAGAATTGTCTGAAGAGGCTCCTTTTGTTTTCTGTAATGTCCTCTCACAGATCTTAATATCAGTCCTTTCTTAAAAGGGAGAGTTAGAAAAGAACTGCTGGATCTGGGGTGGATTTGGCACGGAACTGTTGTACTTTCTGGGAAGAGCCATTCTGGATTCTGGCTTGGGATGAGAGAGACCACAGCCAGAGAGAACTTGGAGAGTGGCACAGGGGCTTTGTTGAAAGAGGAGTTGAAGATTTGTTTATACACAGGTCTTGTTTCCGTGGTTGTGCAGTTCACTAGCTTTGAAACAGACATGTCCATTTTTCTCTCTGTGTATGTCTGTATATCAAAGAGCACCTCCATTTTCCAGGGCTCCTTTCAGTACCACCTCAGGATTTCATCTTTGTAGTTTCTGTGGTTGTTGCTTAGTTTTCGTGCCAGGATCTTGGACATGGGTTATCTCAGGGAAGTTCCTCAGCCTTAGGAAAAAGAAAGCAGTTCAGCCCACTGCTCGGGTCCTAGGGAACATCTGAAAATATAGCTTTGCCAGGACCTCATTCCATGTCTGACCCTGAGAGTAGTATCCCTACTTGTGTGAGCAGGATTGCACAGCAGTAGCAGGCTAAAGGACCCTTGACACCTCCAGGTGAGCCCATTCATAAGCAGGAGAGGAGACGCACATCCAGAATGGTGTGTGTGTGTCAACACTAGGGATGTGTAGTAAGGAGACATGCCTATAGATACCCTTCGCATCTGAATCCAGGCCTAGGAAGGCCATTGAGCAGATCTCCTGGCTAAATAGCTTTGACTCTCCCAAATCAAACCAGATAGTTGCTCAAGCACAGCTTAATATATCAGCAATGGCATTCTGCTCTCCTTAAGTCTCGTGCATGCTTTCCTTTTACTGGGCAGCTTGGTTGGAACTCTTGGGGAATTAATACTCATCTTGTATGCACCCTGATATCAGGGGGACATATCTTATTAGTATTTTGTATGGTCTCTACACTATAATGAGAAGGTTCCATCCTCAAATGCAGCCCAAACATGATTGTAACCAAATAAAATAGAATAATAAATTAAGCAAGGCTGAGTAAAAAGTGGAAGAAAGGCCAAAGGCTTAACAAACTGGCTACTGAAGCAAGGAAAACAGGAGAGTATCTTGCAGTAGCTACCTAGATGCAGCTGGAAAGCTTTCTGGAGGGTGGAGAGAAAGAAATTGCATCAGAAAAAACTGTTAGATGAAGAAATGCAAAGACAAAGAAGGAATTAATTTCATGCCAATATTTTTAAGTGCAATTGGGGACATACCACCTAGCCTGATAAAGCATTCAGGAGAAACTTTCACATTTGGTGGGATCTTAGTTGGTAATAATAAAAAGTATTGTTCAACTGTATAAGTTAGGTATACATAATTGTATAAGTTTTTAATGTTGTGACCCATCCTGAGTCACAATGCTGGAAATAGGTATATTATATATAAATAGAGTAACAGTACGAACTCTCCTATAGTTTCTTATCATGGCTTCACAGGATATCCCAGAAACCATAGTGAAATTTCATAGTGTAGCCATGAAATACACCTTGCGTTATTCACACTTTTGAAATACTTCTTTTATTATCATTATTTTGATGAAAAAGCTGCCAAGACCCATTCCATTTGCAGCCTGCACCAGTTTCCTGCCTCAAACCTCTGCTTCTCTCCAGTGATCCTCTTTGTATTATGCAGATCATCTCTGCCAACAGCAGAGAAAGCATTTCTTTGGCAGAAAGATGATGTGGGCTAGTTCTAGCACAGGTTTTTCAAAAGTATGTATGGAATTACATGTACTTTGGCCCTGAAATGGGAGGCAGTGCACTCCATAGTTCATGTGCATGCTCCTATTTGTACATTTTCAAGCCCTCAAAGCAGTAGCTTTCCTCTACTCAGAGATGTCATTGCAGGGTTGGAATAAAGCATTCCAAAAAAGGGGAGCGGGGAGGAAACAAAGCAGAGAAGCAATTCACCAAGACCAGGGACAAAGAAACAGGACATGTTTCTGGTACGTAGGGGCATTGGATGTGTAATTTGTCCATCATTAAGAAAGACTTTATTCTGAAGGCAGTACCAAGGTGTCCAGTAATATGGACTGGATGAATTGGAGGATAATGTGTTTGTGAAGACACAGCTTTGTGTCAGTGGTGTCTGAAGCAGCTAGAAAACAAAGTTGAAGGGAAAAAAGCAATTTCCTATAAAGGGATTAAGAGGCAGATTTTTATGTGGGAAACAGAAGTAAACTTACTTTATAGAAGTATACTATTACTTATTCCTCTTACTTTGTAGAAGGTGTAATGAGAAGGAGACTAGGGGCACAGGCCTATGTGTTGTGTCTTCAAAGCTCATCATCCTCTGAGCTCAGAGGTTGGGAAGCATTCCACATGGAGTGGGAGGAGCAGCAGAAATGTCTAGCCTGCCATTTTTCCAGGAGCCAAGAGGGAAGGAAGCTGGGTTGCTGTCACAACACATTGCTTCTGGGGGCCCTGGTCTCCTCCCCATCCCCTTCACCCCTTCTTTTCTGACCTAAAAGAAGCCAGAGCATTTCTTTCATGCCAGTTGTGATGGCTTGGGAGGAGGAGTGGAGTGAAGATTCCTAATTCTGGGGATAGAGCTTTGCCTCCAACCTCAGACAGGGAGGTCTGACTTATGTTATGGCCCGCCAGACAGTGTTGGTAAGACTCAAGGTTGCTTCCTAAGGGCACAGTCCTGTGCATCCCTGTGACTCCTATGTGAACTGTGGAATGCTGGGAGCTGTAGGACCTAAATATGGGATTGCATCCTATGTACAAATCAGGAAGCCTCCAGTTTGAGCCTCATTCCTGCCATGAACTCACTGGACAACCAAGCCACTTTTTCAGCATCTGTTGACTTATCTTCTGTATTGGAATGTATGTAATACTGAACTAACTTACTAGGTTATTGTAAGCATAACAATACATGTTAAGTACTTAAAACACCCGAATGTGCTATACAAATCTTAAGTGTTACTATATTACTATGAATGTGCTTATTTTTTCCTAAAAATACATACATACTGTCAATGTATATTTATGCACAGACTGCCAGTTAGTATTCATGTAGGAGATTGAGAGTTGTTGGTTGGTTTGTTGTATTTTTACAGTGGGGCCAGAAGAACGAAGCCCTGGCACTTTTGGAGTATCAGAGATGCGATGCCACCAGCACCCCCATAAGAATTTCCCATTCCCTCTGAGTTTAGCAGGATTTTGTGACATTATTTCCCATTCCAAAATGTTACACTGCTTGTCCCAAGCTTAGTTACTGGCAGCAAAATCTGTAAGCAAAAATATGAGGGTATTTTGGGTATCTTTGACCCAACTGTTAGGTCTTCAGCCCTGTCCATCATTAAAATCTATCTTCTGAGAGCTCTTCAAAAACAGAATAAAATTTTTAAAAACCTGGCTGAAACATATTCAGTGCCTTTATCTATACTTTATAGGGTGGGTTGCATGACTTTCCTTGCTTCTTACTACCTAGGATTCTAAGTAGCCAATCAAAGATGGTGCAGTCCTTCTCAACAGTGAAGATTCAACAGGAAATGTGCATTAACTCCTTAAGGGCAAAATTGCTTATAAGGGCAAAAATCAGATTCCTGGAGTGAAAGCAGAATGAGCTGAGGTGTGCGCGCACACACACACACACACACACACACACACACAAGCACAGGATGCAGAATGGCTTCCTGGCAACTATGCCAGGATGCCCCTTGTCCCTCTCTGACACTCACTCACTACCATACCACACTATTTCTCTAGAATATCCTTATTTTAAAAAAACCTAACTTTCCCTCATATTGGTAAAAAATGAAAGGTGATCCTCCATTTAGAAAAGATGACATTATCCACTAGCATTGACAGACCTGTCCTATTTGATCTTGTGTTGCACACTTATTTTCATATAGCTTGCTTCATCTCCTACTAGTTTTTTCATCCCTAATGTGTAGAGCAGTATATTGGCTCTCTTCCAAAGGTCTGTCTCCATGCTTACAGCTGCTGCCATGCACAGGATTGCTGTCTGACAGCTAGGTTGGCAATGGCATGTCATAGTGGATGCAACCAGACAGCCATCAGCAGGGATCCAACACATACAGCAGTTGCCATTGGAGCAGCTTTCAGTCCAAAATCCTACCTACTAACCACTTCATGCAATGGGATATGCACCCAAAGTCACAGCCTGTCCTCTTTCTTGGCATGAAATCCAGGCTGCTTTGCTTGCGAATTGTGCCATGCAGTATTATAGGCAGGTTTTGGCTTGTGGTGCCTCATCTAGTGATGTCATCCTGTATGGTCATGTCCACAGTACCAAAGCCATAGCTGGAAAAACCCTTCTCTATTCCCTGCCCCCTGCACCCTTCATATATCCTCCAAATGACTCATCCAGTCTGCCCTGGTACTGTAGACATGAGCAGGAGGAAGAGAATTATGCGAGCTGCTTTGATTTCTTTGTAAGAAAAGGTAGAATATAAATCTAATAAATATTGTACAAGGAGGAAAACCTCTTCTGCACTGTGAGCTTACATTTAAACCTCTTTTATGCATTCCCTTTTCTTTCAGAATGATATGAGTGCCCTGGCATCTTCAGGTCTCTTCTTCAAAGATGGCAAAAAACGTATTGATTACATTTTGGTGTATAAAAAGTCCAGTCCACAAATAGAGAAAAGAAGCACTTTTGAAAAGAACCTTCGAGCAGAAGGATTGATGCTAGAAAGGGAGGTATGTTGCATTTTCCAGCCTATAGCAGAGCACTGTCAGGTTGACTGGGCAAGGGGAGTTGCGGATCATGTGCCACCTCCACAGTGCAGCCAACTCAGGCTGGCCAAGTGGGGGGGGGGGCAGCCCCGGTTCATCTCCAGTTCACCTTTGAGCCTAACAAAATGAACTGTTCCAGCTCTGGGAGAGATCTCTCGGGAACAAAGGAGCTTTGGGACCCCACTGTGGTGTCCCCTGATGGGGGTCCCACTGCTTGGAGGAGTTCTACCAGCAGTAGATCTATATCTGGAGAACTTTATGCAGGAATACTGGGTGCAGCTTCATCCCCGGCAAAGAGCCACTGTGTCCAATCCTAACCTCCCGGAGGCACAGTCTGAAGGGTTAAGAGTTGAATAGCCAAATAGCCAAAAGTGCCGCAAAAGCTATAGAAGCTATTTCTGCTTGGGTTTAAGATTGCCCGGCTCCTATGTAATAGAAGACTTCATGAATAGACTGCATATTTCTAACGCAGCTGAATCCTGCTCTCAGGCCAGTGGTGGCCTCATCTCTGAGGATGAGTTGGTTATGATGTCCAACCTCCTCCTATTAGATGTATGTGTCATCATAGCTACAGTACAGAGTGAATCATCCTCATGTAAAGCTGCAATTGCAGTAACCCAGGACTAAACATAACTACAAGGTTTGCCAGGAAACTGAGTATCACCTAGATTTGGCCTGTTCATGAGTGTTTATTTGGTTACTTTTTGCAGCCAGCTGTTACAAACAATGATATCATGTTTGTTAAAATTCACTGTCCTTGGGATACCTTGTGCAAATATGCTGAAAGAATGAGCATCAGGATGCCTTTCAGGTAATGAAGCATATTTTATTTTGCTTATTTCACCTGTTGACCTCAGAAGCAATATTTTTGTATGATTCTGCTTCCATAATATTTTCTCTTTTCTTCCAACAATGTAGACGTTTCTAGAAATAGGAATGGTACAGTTGCATGTACACAATGCTTTATTAGACCAGTGAAACACAGTGATAAAGTCAGCTAATCTACTTTGTATGAGGAATGCTCATACTTTCAAATGATAAGTACTCTGGGAATGATGTCCTTCTGCCTAATTTAAATTATTGTCAATGTGATGGCAGGGGAAGCAAGAAACCAACTCTGATTGCCACTTCCTGTTTTCCATGCTTCTCTGTCATTTGTGAAGGTTATAACAATATATAAAGCCTGATTTATTTCTGTTTGCCTTTGAAGAGGATGATCTTGCACCATCGGATGAATGTGGAAAAAAATGACAATTTCATTTGGCTGCAACCCATTCATCCCATTCAAAGCTGTCTTTAGTTACAAGCTTCTGAAACTTAAATAACCAAAACCACTGTAGCTTCTTCACCCCATGGATTTAATCCAAATTAATCCCAAAGGAGCAAAGCAGAGTAGTTTTATCTGCTGGCTCAAGCACTTTGGCTGCACTCCAGAGCCCATTTACTCCAGAGTAGGTGTATTAAGCACAGCGTGACTCTTCCAGAATTAAGTGGGTTATGGATTGTACCAATTGTTAAGAAATGAGCCATCCGCTTTAAGAGAAGAAGGCAAATCAATTTCAGGGACAGTGGTCTGTTTACGGTCTTGTAAACAACATGACTTTTTTTATATACTGACTTCATCAAGGGGAACTTTGAATACAAGAAAACCAAGGAACAATGTGTGTGTTTTATAGCAAAGATGAGTCTTAGCAGTTTTTCCTGCTCTGTTTTATGTGAAACTTTTGTATAATGTGAGCTATTCCTTGCATACTGAACAGCACTTAGGTGACTAATCATGCAGCTTTTATGTTTTAAAAACTGGTTTATGTCTTGAAAGTCAGCAAAACTTACTGTGTGACCTTGGATCAATCTCCCCCTCTCCCCATCCCACAACCCCAGGCAAATGCTCCTGACAGGGTTGTAGGAAAACTGTGTAGGCCACTCCGAGATGTTTGGTATATCAATATAAGGTGTCCACGGAGGGAACCCAATTCACTTCCAAACCCTGTGCTTCATACATGCATGTTGGAAGTGGAGCAACTTCAAGGAGCAGGATGCTGAGTATGCTTTGGATGGCAGTGTGCAGGATTGCAGTTGTATTAGGAGTCCCTTATGATGGTATCCAGACCTAGCGCAATGGCTGAAGCACCCCACACGCGATTCCCTGGTGCATCTCATGAGCCTCAGCAGCATTTTGGCCCTTCTGCCCATGCACCTCCAAGCGGCCCAGCGGGGCCTGCAAAGAAGGGCCTGCAGCTGCACCTGGACTTTCCAAGGCCTTCTGCTGGATCTGAGGCCTCACTTCACTGAGGGCAGCTTTTCCTTCCTCCCCACTTCTGGCACAGCTGTCCTAGCCTCTCCTTCCCCATTGCCACATTTCCCCCACACTTGCTGCCTTTCCTACCCCTTCCCATCTTGCCGCTGCTGCCCCACCGTGCTCTCACCACCAACACTGGGTGGGTTCGCATGGCCAACCTGGGCTCAAAACCATTTAGGGCAGGCACTTCGGAGGAGCCTCATCACCCCTCTACCCCACACACTCAGTTTCAGAAGACCCCAGATGAAATCATTGGAGGAGCAGAGGAGGGATATGGCCTGCCCAAATGTTCACAGGCAGCACTTACAGGCTCCCCAGGGCTGACCCTGGCAGAAAGAGGTTGCTCAGCAATGTCTGGTCACCAGGAACAGCGTGGTACAGATGAGTCATTGTCTTCTCCCTGCCCACCCTGTGGATTGCTCCACAGAGTGCTCTGTCTACCAGCTGAGAGGGAGTTCATGTTCTCCTAGGATTACTGCATGGTAGTCCCAACAGAATTTAACTTCTCCCCACCTGTCCTACTGGCACAATCACCTTGTGATATCCCTGGTGGGTAGGAGGAAAGAGGGGTGACCACGGGGTGGGAGGAAGCATGGCATCGGGCTTGAGGGACTCGCAGGCACAAGTGGCAGTGCTACGACACCTTGCTTCCCCAAACCCTGGGCACGTTGATGGGGAAGCCAGTCACCATCACCTGTAAGTGCCCTTTGCGGGTGGCCATCATCTGTGCTCTCTAGGAGCTACTCGGTCATAGTGGCATAGGAACTGTGCCACTCTGGCCAAGTCACTTGCTTGTGGTGGTTAATTCTGTCTTTGGGTTCAGATAGTGACAAGCCATGAAGAGTTAAGCAAACCTACAACAAACTATGACTTATAGTCAGGGTAGCATATAAGCCACATTTAAGTCATGCAGCGAGCACAACACAACACTCCAGGGTGGTTTAGCTCATTGTGCACAGCTAGTCACTTTGGCCTTTCCTTTCTTCTCTGCTGCTTCTGATACTGCCACACACCTGCAGATCAAGACATAAGATGAGCGCAGGAGAAGGTCGGGGGCAGGAGTGGGAGGTGATCATACCTGAGTGTGGGACCAGGACAGAGGAAAGAAATAGCATGGGAATGGAGTGCAAAAGGGAAGGAAATGGAGGTCATAATGGGGGGAAAGAGAAAGAGGAATTAGCAAGGCAGAAAAAACAATTTGAAGAGAAGAAGACAATGCACCCATCGCATCCCAGTGGGGGAAAACTCTTTTCCAAAGTCAGCCATTGCCTTCATAACACAGAAACCAATGAGCCATATTACGGCAGGAAGATCTAGCACAATGGACCTCCTGCTTCTTCTCATTCCTCTTCCTTCTTCCTTTCGGCCCTTGCTGCAGCTCTTGTCCCTTTGCCCAAGATACTTTGATCCAAACGTGTACTAATTCCAACTTCTTCCATCAATAGCCTCTGTTGCCTTCCTCTGAGAAATGCATGATTCAGAAGCAGGAGATTCACCATGACACCCTTTCACACATTAATCATGTGAAGTAGGATGCCCAAGAACAAGAGGCCTATGCCATTGGTCCTGTGTGGCTCCCTGGCCACATTCCCAACATCCACACAGTAAACAGGAACATCTAAAGAGCAGGAAACCTCTGCACATTGGCTTCCATGCTGTCTAGAGCCTTGTACAATTAGGTTTCAAAAAAACATGGAAGCCTAGACTGTAGCACTCTGCATCTGTGGGCTGCCTGGGACTTTATGAGCAGCTATCCATGCTCAGCACATGGACATTGCGGAGCTAGGGGGAAATCTACAGTGTCAGCTGTGGGACCCTACAGCTGCTGTGATTCAATAGAACCACCTTCATGTTGGTAACACATGGAGAGGGCTATTGTTAATCTGAAGCAACCTTCTATGTGCAGCAGGAGCCAAGCACAAAATGTTAGCTGGGAGTACTTTCAGGGTTAGCGTTCAACAGGAATGACCGTCAGCATAAATCATAAATTGTAAGTCCTGCAATAGCAGGGGCTGACCCTGATGGCCTTCATGGCCCCTTCCAACTCTACTATTTTGTGATTCTGTGATTCATTCCAATTCATCCTGAGGCTGTTCTAGGCTGCTTATGGTATTAGATGCCCTCACCATCTCTGCATCTCTGCATCTCTGATGGAAATATGGATAGCCTGATGCAATGGATCGAGCCTGCAAATGAAAATGGTGGAACTGCATTGTTGTAGCTGTGCTGAGAGTGATATGATAGCTGTCTTGTGTGCTCAGTGGGAGGAGTGGGAGCTGGGAAATGAATGAAATTCAGTGGGTGAAGTTATGTCATGGCAGCTGTTGCAGATCAGGAGGAGATGGGCTGCCTTGCTTCACTTGCAACTGCATTTTTGTAATACAGGCAGTTGCCTCTCTTTCCTGCCAGATGGGAAAAAGGAGAGACAAGGTTGGCTCTTTCTTCCAGATATGCAACATCTCTTTGTTCAGTTCTGCTGTAAATATAGTGTTCTCAAAGGCTGGCACTGTTGACTGGCCTCACCACATGGTTTGGACTGAATCAGTTCCCAACCACTGTGAAATGGGTAAGTTGATTCTTCTTCCAGTAGTGGGTTACATGTGTCCAGTCTCCTGTGACTCACTCCATGGATGTAACAGTTTCAGGATCAGTCACTCAGTCCATTCTTGGTGTGCTTATTTTTAAGTATGATCTCAATAATGATTTTAAGTGCAATTTTAAGCAAAGCTAAAAGTGGAATTCCACAAGAATATATCCCATTTTCCAGCTAAGCATCAGGATCATTACCTGTTTATAATCTGTTAGTGTAAAGCAGAATTCCAGTATTGTGTAATTATGTTTGCAGCATGCTTTTCCACACTCAATTTCCAATATAATATGTTCTCTCTCTCTCTCTCTCTCTCTCTCTCTCTCTCTCTCTCTCTCTCTCTCTCTCTCTCTCTCTCTCTCTCTCCCCCCGCCACCCCTCTCCATACCCACACACACACGCACACTCTCACACACACTCTTATATAGTCAGTGAACAGCTCACAAAAACTGTAACATTTTTTTACTGTGGCATTTACTGTGCATATTTAATAGTAACCAGAAAAGAAAAAAGTAGAAAAGCACTCAGTTTTAGTTCTTGCCTTCAGCAATCTGCTGCCCATAATTTGTGTGCAAGGTATCAGGAGTTATTGGGGCAATACTGTTCCCATTATTAAGAAATCAATGTATAACTGAAAGGGAAAAGGTCCACAGTCTGTGAGTTTCTTCTAATCTATTACTTCTTAGAGCATGTTAATTGTTTAATTTAAAGTAGTTTGATTTTAATGCATGCCATCAATATTTAAGATATTTAAGCCAAGAATTTCCAAGTTAATTATTTTTTTAAAATATTGTCTTAGCTTTAACACTGTGCTTTCTTCCACCTTCATTTTATAAGGGTTCATGTTACAAGAATAGCTAAAATTGGGTTCTTCTGTGTATTCCCTTCTTATGTATGCAAAATTGTTCTCAGATTATTTTTGCTGTTCTTACAGGAAAAAATGTTATTACACTGACTGGAGGAGCAAAACGATGGGCAGGTTGGTGGGTGATGCATAGCTTTTAATTTTGCAAGATAGTCACCCTGCATAAAACAAATCCATCCTAGCAGTTGTAAATTTATACCAAGGACCTCAAGCAAACTGATTTAATTAATGGAAGCAGTAGAACTTTGCTGGATTTCCCCTCCCATCTGGGGGCATGCGATTATTCTCACAGAAGATAAGATGCTGTAGTGTCATAATTGGAGGATCTATAATGAGATTCCCAATTACCATAAGTAGGCAAACGGAGCCCATCAAGGATTTGGACTCCAAAAACTCCAAGGAGACTTGCATAAAATTGTGTTTGCGTTGCCTCCCGGGCACTTCATGGATGACCTATTTTGGAGCTTCATGAGATCCTCATGAGTAGGATGAGTTGTGGCATAGTGAGCCTATAGGAGAGCCTGTAGGGGGCTCTCCCCAGATTGGGTGGACTCATATTGTGTGAGCAGAGTTCCACTCATGCAATGTGCTTTCACTCACTTTGAGTCAATTCCCATCCGTCCAATCCCACACCACTGAAGAAGTCTCTCGGCTTTCCAGAGAGGTACAAGGAAAAGAGATGGGAAATGGCTGTCTCGTCAACCTGTCTTCTGTTCACCTTTCTCAGGACCCAACCCAAGCCCTTTTTCAATGCTGCTACTGAAAATCATGAACGTGATCGTGGCAGGGAAAGAACATGGGGTCTTCTGTGTGCAGGCCGCAAAGCATGCAGATAACACTGTGTGATATTACACACCATTGGATCCAAATACCAGTGCTTGAGTTCAGTTCTTCTGGATTGTGTTCCAAGTGGTCTGATCTCTGATATATAAAGTAGAAACAGAGCAGAAACATGGAGGTAGGAAGGGATTGAACTGTAAAGAGGTTCAATTACACAGTTGGTATCTTTAAATTAAAGATGGGTAATTACACAACTGTCCTTAAACTTACCTTTCACTCAAGCAAGTAATGGATAAGTTCCCAGATAATAAAATAAACTTTTGACAGGAAATCATGATGTGTTTCTCTGCCTTTTTCTCTCATTCTTTTTAAAATGTTATGTAAATCCAGCAATGGGTTTTGATTCATAAAGGAAATTAGTGAAGTTCTACTGCATTGCCATCATACTCCATTAGGCAAGTCCTTTCACACAAAAGATTTAAGTTGCTGCATTTTAAAAGCAATTATTCCATATCAAAAACTAATTGCAGGCAAAAGCTACACATGAAATGCTTTGGGAAAAGAAATAGAACATACTGAATTTCTTAAGAAATGTTCATATTGAATTCCATATTAGCGTTGCAAATTTAATTCTTACGCTTGTTAAATATCCAAATCTATATTATTATTAGCCTTCCAAGGTCTCCAAAATATAAAAAACTGTTGAGATTCAGGATACCTTTAGCATGTTTAAGATTTTAAAATAATCTAGAATCCATGTAGTGTCAAAAGATAATTTGAAAACTATCTTTTTGCATTGCTGAACATTTTTAAACAACAGACTGACATATTGGGTTAGTATGAATTTACAGCTGCTCCTTTTCTCCCCGCAGTCATGCATGTGCTTTTATCAGATACATTACAAGGAACAGAGGTATAATGATTTCCCTTGTATAGTATGTGGAATGGTAACAGTTATTTTCCCCCCAATACCTACACGTAGAAATGGAATATGCAAAAAAGTCCTGGCTATCAGGCAGTGTAGAACTGAAATAAAGTCATTAACTAACAAAATTAACTTCCCAGGATGATGGTTTAGGGAGCAATCCTGTGGCCCTAGAAAGTGTCTGAGAGACCATAGGATATCTTGGATTCCTCAGCTGGAGGTTGGAGACAGCACTCCAACCTCAGAGAAGGTAGTTGGAGCTCCACCTGCTTCTCCTGCCCCCTTGCAGCTGGCACAGTAGAAACTACACTGGCTGGGACTCAGCCTCAGAGAAAGAGAGAAGGGGTCTTTTGGTGGGTAAGGAGGGAAGCAAATGGGAGAGACCAGGATCAACGTTATCCTGAGGCTTCTTTCCCTCTCCATCTTACCACAGCGAGATGGGCAAAAAACCGATCTAGTGAAAAATGCAGGGCAGGGAATTCACCACCATTCCTCCTACCCTGCATAAGATGTTTGTAACCCTCTTGTAAAACTGGACCTTACAAGCACAGCGTGTGCCCTTAGCATCTATTATCGCTATGGAACTCCAGTGAATGTTCAGGATAATAAAATATAATTCATAATTGAATTGGTGGGTTGTACTTCAGACCTCTAGTTCTCAGAGTCTGGCAAAATTCCTGATGCTGATCACAAGACAGAAAGACTTCTCCATGTTTCTCACTTCTTCGGCCAGAGGAAACCTAGTCTCCTCAGAGATATCCCAGCCTCCTTCCCTGAATTCTATGGGTTTTTTAATTGTTTTGCCGTGTTCCTGTGAAAAAAAAAGAAAAGGCATGGAGACAATATTGCACTAAACTGAACTAGTTGGCAGGCATTAGCACCATTTTAATTATTTTTGACATTAATAGGTTGCAAGAAACCTTAGTCCATTCATCTGATGAAATTATTCATAAATGTTTGTATAGGGAAAACCCTGAATGATGAAACATAGTTAAAGAGTATAAGAAGTGTTCTGCTGGATCAGACCAAAGGCCAGCTGGTCCAGCATTTTGTTCCCCAGTGCGACCAATCAGGTGCCTCTTGGAAGCCTATCAGCCGAGCAAGAGAGCGTTAGGGCTGCACCCACTGATGATCTGCCTTTGAATCCAGAAGTCAGGTACAGAAAGAATGGCTCATAGCCATGGCTTGTCTTATCCTCCATCTCCTTTCCAAGTTATCCAGTTTGGTGGCTATCACTACATTTTATGGTAGTGAGTTTCTTTTAGATGAGCCATACAAATCCTGCATGAGGGAATCTGGAACTGATTCTTTCCAGAATGTGCTTACCATCTGCTGTTTTGTAACGTATTACCGTTACCCCTTGTCCTCTGCATCCCCCCGCACACACATTGATGTGTTCTCCAGAAGGTGTTCTAGAGCAGGCATGAAAGCTATGGGAGGAGGCTGCAAGGGCTAAGAGAGCAAAGAGAGGCCCCTCATGCAAACAGTGGTCTGCTTGTGCAACTTTAGATTTAATATCTGTATGTGTGTTGTCTATCTGTCAGAAGTGGTGTTCAGGGCTGGCCTGCTAGGGTTGGAGCCCCAAATCTTTCATGGAAGTCCCAGATTTCTGGGGAAATTATCTGCCCCACCACCCTGTGGGTACAGGAGTCCAGATGATCTTTGTTATATCTGATTAGCTGTTACATCTCTGTTACATCTGATTGGCTTCATTTCCTACTACCCCCTGCTTTTCTGTGTGAGGGATGTTTTTTTCTGAAATTAAATCTGCTCTTCTTCCTGTTATCACGCATCCCTTGTTATAAATAGGGGTGTCCTGAAAAATATAAGACACAGAGAGCAATAGGTTTCAGATTATATGTAAATTTGTATATGCAGGTTTGTACTTTTTTCTCTCTTTTTGTTCTTGTATGTCTAAGTGCCAGATCTTTTCACCTAACACCTAGCACTGCTCTCTGCTCCTCACTCTGTCTATGGCCTAATTAATTGGAAGGTAACTTTCTGGTCAATTAGAACTGCCAATCTATACCCACTTACCTGTGACAAAACTTCACTGCATATAAGGGGACTTGACTTTTGAGCAGTCACATAGAAGATTATACCATTAAATGGTCTGACTTTTTTAGTCTCTTGATTAATCTTACTGATTATTCAATTAAACATTGCAATAACAAAGATTTTGTTAAAAAATAACTAATGTTTACTACATCTAAGTAACTTCGAACATATTTGGCTACCTTTTTTTTTTATGTTTTTCAGACTTTTTGGGTTTCTAGATGTGTCCCGTGTGTGTGTGTGTGTGTACATGTGTGTATCTCAGAACTTTCTTATTGTCTTTGGTTGCATTTGCCCAATAATCAAGGCCCAAATTATATTATTCTTTTTGGCTTGAGCCAGATATGCAGCAACTTGTTGTAAAATTACAACTGACAGCAAGCATATTGGCACTGTTTTAACATCTATGCATGAAAACTAGTGTGTGTGTGAGAGAGAGAATAGGCCAAGTATGCTGACAATGCAAAAAAATCCAATCCAATCTGAAACAAGTCCTTGATCCTAAACCAAGAGATTATCAGTGTTTTATCTTAAGGCCAGTTCATGCTAGTAATGATGGGAAAAGGTATTGAGCATTTACCAAGTGAAAGGAGAATTATGGCCCTTTCAGATGCTAGAAAAGCATCGCCTTCTAACTCACTTGGGGTATGCATTTCATACAACCATACAACCCCTGCCTGGAGGTTGCAGAGATCACACAACAAACATGGTGGGTATGAACCTGTCCCTGTAAATGTTATGGCAGCCGCATTCATTCTTTTCTTTACCCATAAGCTAAACATAGGCATTTCCTTTCAGTCTTAAAGCTGGTAAACATTTATAGTTCTGTTGTGTGCAATGGAACTGTCTTGGTGCATTATGGTAACACCTTCCTGACGGCTTTGTTCACACTCAAACATTTCATGATTTCATTGTTCAGCACCTGATCAGCTACAGCTGAATGTGTGGCATGACTTCACTGCCAAGTGTAGTGGTTTCAATGAGGTGAGATGATGGAGCTTTTTCCTTGCCTGTTTCATTGTTGGGATAAGCAGGTGAATCCTTCTGCATAGCCATTGCAGGTTTTGTAGTTCACACTACTGGACACATGTTTGTGGCTCTTTCCTTCCCATATCTGTCAGTGTAAATCAACATATGGAGTTCTGTTCTATTCATTTATTTACTGCAAGAAGCTGTTTTTCAGCAGACATGAACTTGGTACTTCCCTCCATGAAAGACAATAACACAAGACCATTATAGTTTTGAGACAGGAATATGTTCTGGAAAATCCCACCCACATTGATCTGGTTTGACCAATCAGATTACGACACTGTGGCCTTTATAAATCATACAGGCTGGGCTTCTGTGATCAATGTCTGGGTGTGGTTTGTTGTGTCATCTGAACCCAACCTTCCCGTGCCTTTAAAACAGTCCATGGTTAATGGAGGAGTGTTTCTCCCTCCAACAACTTCAGCAGCCCAGCCAATGATGATGGAAAATACACACTGTACTGTGTATGCCCAACACATACCTGGAATGCATTTTGATTATGCAGCTTGACTAACCAGTGTTTACATATAGTATGCCAACAGCAATTAAACTCTGCAACAAGATCAGAGAGAAGACCTCTTGTCAATGGGTCTAGGAACTAGCTTATAGGTCAAAGCTATTCCGTCCAGGGTCATTGTGAATACTAGTTTTCTTAAATGACATTTGTTTAAATATTTTGGACAGACCTGAATGGCAAACGTGGCAGCCATGACTTTAAAAATGTATATATGAGAAGCAGCTTAAAGGCACAAACCTTTGACATGGATCTTTAATTTTCAATGTTGCCCATAAGTGAGGCTTGTTATAAGTGAACTGGGAACATTTTCGTCCACTGACATTTTGCAGTCATTTACCATTCTGTGTCCATTTACACTCATTTGCATGTCATTAACTTCAACATTTTGCAAAATGCTATATGCATATGTATAAATTGCATTTTCACGGCAGGTTAATCTCAAAAGGCTTTATTTTACAGTGGGGAAAGGCAATCTCTGGTCTTCAGACTAATTTCAAAAGTCCTCTGCATACAGTCTATTCAGACCTCTGATAAAAACAAGTTGTCCCTTCTCTGGCAGTTTTTACCCTTCCACACACACATGTACAACTTCTGATTCTGGCTGTTTAAATAATTTTGTTTTAATAAGAGCCAGAGTCAAAAGTGTAAATGTACATTTGGAATGGAGGACGGTTATCTTTCTGTCAGCTCTTTTTTTTCTGCCATTCTCCTTTTTCCTTTCCATCTTTCTTCATGCCCAGTGGTTTGCTTCAGTGGAGAAGCAGAAAGACTTTGGCCCTTCCCACTGCTGACTTACTGCCTCTATTGAATTATCCAGGAGGGAATGCGGCCCTCAACAGAAAATCTTGCCCATCCCTGCTTTATAGGATTGGTCAGACCATTCAGTGGGAAGGAAAGAAATCTAATTTCTTTCATAATAAGAAAAAGAAAGGTAGAGATGGAGTGTAAATCAGATCTGGAACTTGGAGAAGGTGATTACACTGTTCTAATTTTAGGGAAAAGAAAATCAGTGTCTTTTGTTGTGCACTGAAAACAAAAGCCTCTTGCTTATGAGTTAATTTCAAATGTGCCATTTCATTTTTTCTGCTATTTATCTGAAAATATGGTCCATCATCCAGATAACCAAACCTGTAAATCTATGCATGCTGCAGGACTTTGGACATTTCTTTTAGTTCTTTTGCTCTGTGTCCTCATATGCAAGCTCATAATTGAATGTTGCCACTTGCATCATATATTAAGGACAAGGAGGTACCCTGGAAAAACTCTCTAAAAGGGGCAAGGTTTCTCCATCTGGGAAAACCATCTACTCTCACTTATTAAGTTTAGCCTTTCTTCTGTCTAGACTTGCACAGGGTTTCACCCTTCACTAACTTGCCTGTATATTTTTTCTGCCTTTCACCTACTGCTGTATTACCAGTTTTAATATATCTTTTAGAAAGAAAGTGAGGAAGGAGAAGGAGAAGGTTCTAGTGGCTGTGGAGCTAAAGTGAATTCACTCTAACCTGGATTATTTGAAGAAAACCCCCAAGCGACCATAGTTAATGGCATAATGAATAGGTCCTATGACTGTAATGTATAGCCTCTTCAATCAATGGTAGTTCTGGCGTAGACTTGAAGAGGATGTGAACTGCATCTAATGTCAGTGTACATAAAGACTCTCTCAAGATCAGATATTGAATCTCTGTGATGAAAAGGATTCTTTTGGTTTTAAATGGATATTTGACCTGCAACAGTGCCTTCATGGTGTACTTACCATTACCTGAAGTTAGATATTAACTCTGTTATTATTACTGATGCATTTATTCAGACAGATAACCTATTACTGCAACCAGGTGCCGGCAGTTTATTTGTTGCACTGATTAGCAGCTTTTACCCTAGAAAGAAAAATAGTTTATTCTGTTAGAAACGCTTGGATAGACAAGCCACATGAAATGTGGCTGCTTTAAATCACCACGTCCACAGGCTTCCATGACCGGTCACCTGCTGCACAAGCGGGCTGACTGCAGCCAGGGCTTTGCTCTCTGCTTGCGTTCCCTGACGTGTGCAGTCCCTTTCCACGTGCACATGGCCCAGCGTGGCTCTTCCTGGAACAGGCTGAGGGAGGCATGGCTAGGGGCTGTGGATGCAGCCTCGGGCGGTGAGAAGAAGCTTTCACAGCGGCACTTCCCCCTCTCAAGCTGGGACTGGCACTGCTGAAAGTGAGCAGGTGAGCACACCGATGGGCAGTTGTACACACATCAGCAAGTGGGCAGGCTATGGCTAGGCATTTATTGTTTTGCCCCAGTGTCAGACCATGTGACCCAAGACCTACATTTTCTTAGAATGTAGGGGTTTTGTTTTGTTTTTTATGTTTCATTTTGCATCTCTTCTTTTGGAAATGGGTCAGCTCAAGGATATAGGAATGTAAGAACATAAGAATGGTCCTGTCAGCTCTGGGGCATAGGGGCAGGCATCCTCAAGGAGAACACCAGGACCAAGGCTGATGGAGGTGGATGAGAACTTGGCGAGATGCAGTGGAGCCAATGGGAGAAGCAAAGTCAGGAGCAGGCATGGGTCAGATACTTGCATGGCATAGCAGGACCAAAGGCAAAGGCCAAGTCAAGGACAGGCATTGCAGAGCCAGAGACAAAAGGAGCATCAGGAGCCAGCAGGAGTCAAGATGCAAGAAAAGATGCAGCAGACTGGAGACAGAAGCCAAATTAGGATGCCACCACAGAAACTTACCTTGCGGTGACAAAATTAGGCAGGACTCAGCAGCAGTCTAGGACATCCTGTGTCTCCCAGTTCATGCTTGCACAGGTTCTAATCCTTGCAAGCACTTTCAGGTCTGATAATGGTCCTGCATGTACTTCCAAGGGGAACCAGGCTGCCTTGCCGATCAAGTCCCCAGAGGAGATGCATCATTCTGCAGATTCTGACAATCCCTGCTAGATCAGAGCAAGAGATGTTTTAGGCCTTATTCTACAGCTTGTTTCCCATGAAATATGGTAAAGAAGCTCTATATCGGCTGGCTATTTCTGCCATTTTTCCTTTCTAGAGACATATAGGAAGCGACAATACTGTGCAGTCCCATATATTTTTACTCAGAAGTAAGTCATATTGATTGTTGTTGTTGTTATATCACATTCATAACCCACCCTTCTTTTCTTGCAAAGAACCTGGTGGTTTACAAAGTTATAGATTTCAGTTAACTAGGTATAGGATTCCTCCCAGTTAACTAGGTACGGAATTCCAGCCTTAATGGTTTTTATCCTTTAATGGCTTTTATCCCTTGATTGTGTAAAGATTTTTTTTTTCTGTCCATAGTACCATTTAGAGAATGTAACTGTTCCTAATTTTTTTCCATTCTAGTATTATCCATCCATTATTCACTTCAACCCTGGGTAGAATGTAGTGAAAGATATAAGCAAAATAATGCAATAATTTTTCACATGATTTCTCCAGTTTGCAGAGGAATATGAGGGAACTGAAAAGCTGGTTGCCCAGAAATCCAATGAAACTAGACAAAGAAGCACTTCCTGACCTGGAAGAGACAGACTGTTACACAGCACCCTTCAGTCGAGCACGTATACATCAGTAAGTGGTGGACCTCAATTATATCCACGAGGCGCCCACATTAATATTTCATTTCTCCCAGCAGGTGGCATAACAACAATCAGCATTAACAGATGGCTGATGTCAAAACTGAATGGAAATTATGCTCTAAAGACTATTTTGTCTAGAAGTAGATTCTATGTTCAACAGTAACTCCTAGTGGAAGAACTTCAGTAGCAGCATAGGGACGTGAACTAGTTCTACACACTAGATTTGGCTATCTTTCCCAAGAAGAATATTGCAGTCATATAGGAACAACAATACCTTTGAAAGGCATCCCATACCTGACCACTCTAAAATCCCAGCTGTCGGGACTGTGGCTGTTGTATGTTTTTTCATAAAGCCATCTCACACATTGAATGTTCTTCACTATGTTCATGAAAAATCACAGATTTGAGCTGGATGACTACAGACCAGTGTTAGAGACCGACTCAATGCAACTGCAGTAAAAGTCTATGAAATATCTTGTAGTGCTTATCAGACATAAGGTGATGGATGTTAATTTCATTTAGGACAGAATCTCAGGACAGGAAGTGGGAACAATGCAAGCATTACGTAAAAGTCTAGGATTCTAGAAAATCAAGGATAATATCCAAGTAGTGTCTCTCCACTGCTGAAAAGCCTTTATCTGAAAATATGCCTTCTCTGTTCCACTCATGGATGACCTCTGTCCAGAGATTTAGTGACAGATGACCCCAGCATTTAAAATGAGGCTATTCTTCATGAACATCATAAGTCAGTTTGCCTTTCAGTATTTATTTCAGTGGAGGTTCCTACAAGTGGAATAACTGAGGCCACACGTGCATAGACTCTTTTAGAAACATATCAGGCTTTTAAAAATTGTGGCTTGCCCCAGGTGCTCCTGCTACAAACAGGAGCAGTTAAAGAAACTGTGAACCTTCTTTTCCTGATTTGTTTAGCATCAAGTATGAGCAAGAACTTCTGGCTTGCCTCTCCTCCAAAAAAGAAGAAGAAGCCACAGTTTGAGAGTTGTCATTATGTACAATTCACTGCAGCCTTTCATCTTGATGCCCTAGTAAAGTATCAGGAAAAGCTATCTTATAAGAGGTCTCACATCAACATATAAATTAAGGTATAAAAGCACATATGACAGAGTTTCAGGGATTCTCACTTTACATGGACACAATGTATGCTGAAATTGAATTTCAGTTTCACAAATGTCCCATACATAGTGCATTTTGCTTTTCGGGTGTAAATGACCTTGAAGCTTGTATGTGGTTAAGAGAAATCAAATGAAATGGTCAAGTACTATAAAGTAGAATTGGCTGAGCTGTACGGGAAAAAGTTCTGTTAGTCAGAGAATAGTTTCTTCAGGCCATGCACATGTTTTTTTTGCCACAGTGTGATGGTCTATTTGCTTTAAGGTTACAGCCTGACAAAAGGATTTCTGATATAAGCCGTTTCCAATCAAAGCTCTGCAATTTAAAAAGGACCAGATGAAGTGACCCACAGAAGCCTAAATCTTCATTGTGGAAAGAGTTATATGATTTTTATCATTGAGAATGCTTGAAGCGCTCTTTAGGGATTTTGCCCTTGATTTGGAAATTCTTTATTGCACAGTCTCTTTTTCTGCTGTTTTATAGGGATTTGTAATTTTTCTAACATGCTGTATTGGATTTATTTTGTTTTATATTGGAATTTTGTCTGTTTCAATCCTTGTGAACCACATGGAGAACTTCAGTTATACAACAGCATGTAAACTGCACAAATAATTAGTATTCTAAAGTTGTTATGTTTAAAGTATGAAACATTTTAGTCACTGGGAAAATTGTGTATGTTGGTACTTGGACAGCTGCTTGGAAAATAACCGACATGAACTATCTCTTTAACAGCTTCACAATCAACAACAAAGACAGCTTTTTCAGCAACTCAACAAGAAGTAGGATTGTTCACCATATGCTGCAGAGGACGAAGTATGAAGATGGCAAATCAAAAATGGGTATACCTGCATACACAGTGCCTTTGGGTAGTGGACTGCTTGCTGCCCCCAACTCACATGCTGCCAGTCAAAAACTGTCAACTGAATAATTTAAAAGGCAGAATATAGGCAGTGTGTAGGGCTAGGGCAGGAGGTAAACAGATAAAATGCCATATTCAAAGCCCATATGGCTTGCTGTGAGCTGAAAAGGTGTTGAGGGTGGATGGGAGGTTTATTCTCAATTCTCCCCCTTTATCAGTTGTTCTAATAGGAAAGCTTTTGCCATACTAGCTTCAGGGCTCTTGCAATTGGGAAGGGGTTTGGACAAGGCCTTTCCAGGAAAAAGCAGGCTTGGAATACTAAGAATGAAAGGTTGTATCCAGCACTTCCTGATATGTCCCACATTGGACTCTACCACTGGGGAAACATTGCTGGTAGTACATCTCCGCTGGCTGAGCTTTCTTCTGGCAGGAGGAATGTCCTCCAGGAATTTAGGTGCTGTTCCAATGGTGAATCTTATTCTGAATCCATTGGCCCATCCAATTCATTAGTATAATACAAACTGGCAGCAGCTCTGTAGGATTTCAGGCAGAAGATTTTCCTGTCCTGTTTGGAGATGTTAGGAATCAAACTTGGACCTTCTAGCATGTACTCCACCACCACGCTTAGCCCTTCCTCTCTGCTGACAGACAGGAACATAAGTACTGGTTACTCAGCTAGTGAAAGCATTATGGAAGTATTATCTCAATGCTTTGCAGAAAATGAAATAGAATTAATTGTGCAGTAATACTCATTCCATTTATGAGGGAATTAAGCCTCCGTAATTTCAGGCAGATGGGTGCAAGGTTGCCTTTAAAGTTTAAAGGTTCTTAACAATGGATTCCCTCCATCCCCCACAATGGTTAGATAGGCAAGTTATGTGAAAATGATAGAGCATATTCACAGGAAAATGTGCCCCTTAGTACAGGTACCTGCGATGTATGCAACATTCAGAAGGATAGGACACGGTTTAAGCACACTGAGGCTTTTTAAAATTTAGTTTTCAGCTGTAACTAAGAAAATAGAAGCGAAGACAGTCACAGCTAGCTCTTCATAGTGGAGGAAACCATTTAGAGAAAGCAAATTAAAGAGTAAGTGTAACTGCTTGTGCAAAGTTTAGGGTTTTTAAAAGGGAATTTGTTTCCCTCATTTGCTAGATTGTTTATTAAGCATGTACTCTGTACCTGCTGTCTGATGCCTTTTAAAAAAATCTTGGTTTTCATTTCTTGAGATTCTTCTGAGGTATGGACTTTTAAAAAAATAACAACAGGCATGGGAAAGGGAGAGCGGAAGTTATAGCCTTGTGACAGAGTTTCAGGACTAGCCAACTCCTCTTCAGAACACTTCAAGGAAGAACAGCTTTGTTTTTGGGGAGGTCCAAATGCTGCCAAGGCATCCCATTTTGGTTCTGGCTTCTGGTTTTGTCTTGTGTTTCAAGTCAAGTTCACAGCTTCCTCCAAGCAAATAAATCTTGCTGTTCTCTTCCACATCTGGTCATTTCCCAAAATGGCTGTTGTCAAAAGAAAAGAAATGATCCACTAACTGCTTTCTGGAATTTACTATCCATTTCCAACTTCCAGATAAGAGAATACTAATCAATCTCATGATAATGACCAACAAAGGCAGCTTCTGTACTGGAGTAGAAAATTAATGTATTGATTTCAAGCATACATAGAAGAAACATCTGGTGACTTGGTCCAAAGACCATATTTGGAAGAGGACAACCTGATTCTGATTCTAGCCTCTATACAGCCTAAAATGCCTGATCTTAGCTAATCTTGGAAGCTAAGCAGGGTTAGGTCTGGTTGAAATCTGGATGGGTGACTTAAATGTGGGGAACTGCCCAGAGAGCTTCAGCTATGGGTAGTAAAGAAATGCAATGATAATTCTGAAACTTGGATTATATGCTAGGTAGTCATTCTTTTTAATGTTTCAACAAAATACTCTATAGTCATAGAAAGGATTGCATCCATTCCTGTGCAGAATAATTTAACATCGTTTCTAGGTTAAGTAATAAATGTCTTCTGTTCTCTTAGGCATTAACAGGTTGCTCAACAATGGAACATATGAAGCCGCATTTCCACCTCATGAGGTAGTTTAAGTAGTAATGCTTTAAGTATGCTGTGTTCATTCTATGTTTGTTTTAACCCCCTGAAGCACATGTAAAAAATTAGAATGTGTTGTCTGGTATTTCTATTTTGTAAGTTTTCTCTGAGGGTCCCTTCTTCATATGCTTACCATGCAGTTTATCACTACATGGGAAGTGTTCATTGCATAGCATCCAGTCCATCAAATGCATGTTCACACAGAAGTAAGTTACAATTGGATTTACTTATAAAACAGCATGTAGTGGATTCATGTCTAATGTGTGCAGGCAGATTGCTGTAAGCAATAGTTACATGGTGTTCTTTTCCTGAAAAAGAGTGATCACATCGCAAGAAACTGTGGGATACTAGCCAGTATGTTTATATTTGACCTGTTGGTATAGAAAATAGATGCCACAGATTCAGTTAACTGAACTGAATTATTGTTATGCAGTTCAAACACACACAGAGAGAAGTTTTGTATTTGCTATATAGTGGCAGCACAACTACAATTTCACTGTTTTTAGCTTTTTGTTGAACCAATTATGGCCTTGGTTAGCAATACGTTTATTATAGCAAGATGTGGAATTATAGCAAGATGTGATCCACTGAATTTATAAATGGTAAAGAGGAGCGACAACACAGCCATTTTCTTATTAGCAAGGACCATAGAATCCTAGAATGGTTAACAGAATTGGAAGGGGCCTGTCAGACCCTGCAAATCAATGCCCTGCTCATTGCAAGATGTGAAGCTAAAGCAGCCCTAAGGATAGTTGTCTAACTCCCTCTTGAATGCCTCCTGTCTGAGAGTCCACAAACTCCCTGGGTATTTGGTGTACTGCTTTAAGAATCAGGAATTTCTTCCTGATGTTTAGCTGGATTCTGGCTTCCTTTTATTTGTCCATTATTCTCTGTTTTGAATCTGGGAACTCTAGAACTTTGCCTCAAAGACTTTGATAAAGCCAACATATATTATGTCTACAGCATTCCCACCATCCACAAGTGAGGTTCCCCAATTTAAAAATGAGATGTGCCACCCCACTTCAGAATGTCTTGTTGAGTTTAAGGTTAGCTGCAGATATATTTTTCCAACAATAATATTGTTTCCTGTTGCAATGCAAAGTATTTTGGGGTGGCTTGCTCTTGAATGGGCTATTAAGATCCTTTAGCTTTACAAAAGACCTGCCTCAGATAGAGGTGATAAACTCCTAGAACTTCTTTCTTCACATGGATCAATAGCTGCCTGCCTTATTGGACCCTCATTGAGACTATAGGGACTGGTAAGATTCATCCCTGCACTTAAAAATTTATCGCTATGACACTGGAATGGATGCTTACTCTTCCAGAGACTCCTCAATGCACCCAAGTGCAGGAGGACAAGCTCTGTGTGAGAAAACAGGACACAAACCATAAAAGTACCTCCAACACTGCAAGGCCACTGCCCATACTGGCCTGCAGGTATGGGAGCAGACAGTTGCATTCACGCCGCAGATCATTTTTGTTCTTTTGCACTTTAGATGTCTAATACAAATGGGACATCCATTCATTCCCATGAGGCTCAAGATGTGCTTGAATGATCATAAGATAACCACTGATCTCAATATAAATTTAAAGTTTCAGGCATTTGATGTACAGTTGACACATCCCTATCAATCATCTGTCTACCATACTGCTGCACTGCCAATAGCCAAAGTTCTCTCAATGGTTTGCAGCAGTTAAAACCATGAAATACAACAGCAACATGAAATGTATTTAGAACTTCTAAAAGTTTAAAGCTACAATATAAAACCAGAGGAAGAAGCACACCAGCTTGTGTGAATGGAAATGTTTTCCACTGGCACAAAGCCTCTACTGGATTCCACTCAGCAACAACACATATTTCAGCTCAGTAGTTTTGGAGATAAGGTAATACAATACGTTAGTATCAGACAGAAATTGCTTTGTTGGCAGGAACCCTTCTCCCAGCTATGATTACACACATCCCACTGATTCCAGTGTCATTTACTCCCATGTGAGCGTGCATAGTGATGTAGCTTTATGTTTGACCCCCCCCCATCCCTTCCACGGTGTCCCCTCAAAGTAGCTGCCGCTCCACTTCATGTTCTGACTATTTATAATAGGAACAATTTTGAAAGTGAATTAGAAAATTCTTGCAATGTGTCTCAAGCATAAATGAACTAGTTAATTTCACATTAATTAACAGGGTCTTCCATTGGGAAGCGCTTGAGTTCCACGTGGTTACGACAAAGTACTTTTCGGTAGAGCTTTCTCTTTTTGTTCCCAACTGATTTGTATTTTTGTAGAAAGGTTTATAACTGCATCCTTTTTAATCTGACACTCATGACTGGATTTGTCAGCATTGCTCAATAATACTTGGAGGAAATATTCTTCACTGTACAATTAGTAATGCCCATTTTCAATGAGATTACGTTTCCTTAAGCACCCACTTCTTTTTTACTTCTTCTAAGTACCATACCCTTGTTTTTCTTTGTGTGCTACAGGGAAGTCACAAGAGTAGGCATCCCATCAAAACACATGGAGCTCAGAATCATCGGCATCTGTTATATGAACGCTGGGCTCGATGGGGGATGTGGTACAAATACCAGCCTCTGGATTTGATTAGGTACCCGAACAATGTAACTGAACTGGTGTCATTTCTGTGAATTGTGCCATGCGCGTCCCAATGCGCATTTGGATACAAGCATTCTTCCCATAGAATCCTAAATGTGGTGGTATAGTACTTGATTTATAATCTTAGCCTTCTTGCCTTTGAAAAAAAATATATTCAGCATGTGTTAGGCATGATAGTAAGTCTTTCCAGAGCCTTTGGAAACCTTGTTGGTTTTTTTTCCCCCTACATCAGGCAAAAAGCAATGGTAGTCACATAGGCCATAAGAACATTCCATAATCAGGATTTGGGCCTTTATTACGTCAACCCAAATGTCACAAAACACTGTGCAAGATTTCTTCAGGATCCTTCATCTAGTTTGCTGGTAATACTTGGGGCAGTCTTGGGTATAACCTGAAGCTATCATGGAACCTCCTGGAGGCTGGAGAGAGGACCCCTTCTCACAATCTGTCTAAAGTCTACAACTAAGTGCAGAGTTTCTCCATGGCCAGCCTCTTCTTCCCCACACTTAGTTTTCCACCTGGCCCTGGCTTATATCTAACATAGCATCCTCATGTCTGAACTACAGCTCCCATCATCCTTCACCATTGGCAATGCTGTCTTGGGCTGATGGAATTGGAGTCTGGAGAGTCTCGGGGGACAGACTGTGATCTAGCCTAATGAAGAAGTTGAAAATGTGTGCTTTGTGGGTGGTACTCAAGGCTGCCCATGCACAACTGGAGCCATGTCTGGTCCATGAGGGAGCCTAAAGGAACCAGAATGGAACCAGAACAGAATGGAAGAAGGACATGTTGGTTCCTTTCTGGAGTTGCTGTAGGAACTCCAGTGACAGCTCTTGGTAAAACAAGACAAGCAGTGGAAGTGTTGGAGATGGACTGGATTTTGCTTGGCTTAATAAAGATATTGTCCTAACATGTATTTTGGAAAGCCATTGTGGGCTGGGGGATAAAGTCCATGTAATGAAGGTTTTTTCCTAAGGATTTTCCTGCAAATGTAAAGCAAACTTGGCAAAACAGTGACCAGCTTACCTCTCCCCTGCCCCCTTTGTGATTAAAATTACATGTTGCATTTTCAACTAACAGTGTCTAGACTGGCTGGAGGGTGATGGGTGTTGTAGTCCATTGCATCTGGAGGGCATAGGTTGAAGGCTGTTCTAAACAAATAACAACCGAAATTTAATGTAGTCCAACCCCATGTTCTGGTGAATATTCTGCTACTGGCCCAGTCATTTATTCTGAATTAAGCAACATATATCTCGACTTTCTTTTTAAATGCAGGAGATATTTTGGAGAGAAAATTGGCCTTTACTTCGCTTGGTTGGGATGGTACACTGGGATGCTCATCCCTGCTGCACTTGTTGGGCTGTTTGTTTTCCTTTACGGATTATTTACCATGGACTCCAGCCAAGTAAGGTAAGAGGTGCAAAATGCCACATTTTAGAAACCCATAACATAGAATACTATGCTACTGAAAGTAACCAGCTGTCAAGTGCTACCCAAAGGAAATGTAGAATGGTTCTTGAATACCTTTTGCCCAAGCAGAAAGGAAACTGCCCAAAGGAGACCCACCCTTACTCTACTATTTATTTATATATTTTATTTAAGGCATTTGTATGTTGCCCATTTGTGCCACAGCACCTCTGGATGGCTCACAGCACAAGATAAAATGCAATGTATGCCTGCACATCTTCTAGAACAGCAAGGCTGGCTTTTACCTTCCAGGGATAATGGTGCTTCTAATGTATCTTAGTTCATGTTTAACATATATTTTTAATCTGTCATATTTTTCAGTATTCAGCTGTATTTAAGGACCAACTCCAACCACCGAGTCAGTTTTTCATTCTATTCTCATGAGTTACTCACCACATTTCATGGAAGGGCTCAATTACATAATGGATGCTTCAAGGCAAAATAATCCAACCCATCTTCTTTACAGATTTTTCCGCTAATGAAGAGGACATTCCCAAGCAGATCTGTAGAGCAGGACAGGTGGAATCTCTAGTGATGAAAGAACAATGGCATTAAATGAAATCAGTGGCACTACAGATTGGAGTAGGTTGCCTAGGAAGGCTCACAGTTTGTTCAAAAATATTTCCAGCAGCACGTCTGTTGGCAATGTGGGTGCCACCAATTATTAATGTAACAATATGTGCTTAGCTGGACCAATAAGGCTTGTTAAAAGGCCAGCTAAACTAATGAGTATATACAGATGCTGTCAGGAGATGATCTTTCTCCATTTTGCTCTTTTGACAACAGCACTATGTCTTGCATAGTAAGTTGTCCAAATAGGTAGAGTCCTAAGGATGGGTGAGAATATTGTTTGCTTCATTTTTATAACTTCCCAAAAGTCACATTTTTCCCCACAAATGGGACACAAAGAACTTAAGATTTTAAAATTTTCTCATCCTCACTTTTCACTGCGCTGGCTGTGGATAATGGTGGTGTAGTTCAAAATTTATGGAAAGGGCCATGTGTGAAAGGATAGGCTGTTGTACAAGAACAAAGACACTGCAATAAATTTGAGAGAGAATGCAAAAGAGCTGAGTTCTGTAAGCTTACAGTATTCATTTGGATTCAGGGATGCTTCCCTCTGGAAATTTCTAGAAATTCAGAGGAAAACAGCTACCTGGACTTGGAATGGACAAATTTAGCATGTTTTAATGCTCAATGTCAATTTCACTTGGCATTATATTTGTAGGAAGTTGCTGCCTCTTCTCTGCCACACATAGTTGAGGACAGCAGTGTCAAAAATAAGAATGTCAATCTGTTGATAGTGTAGATCTCCGAGCAAGAATTTGCAATGGTATTCATATAAGCCAAAGCTAAAAGCATTTTCACCTGTCTTTACATTGTACTATCCAAGGATTAGTTTCCCAACATCTGCAAAAGCTTCCTAATAATTTAAAGATAGGGTGCCAGCCATAAGTGGCTCTGTTTCCTAATGTATCAGCTATTTCTGTATTCTGCAGCTATTGTGCTGTGTGGCTCCCATGGCTTTTGATAGCACAGTTGTTATGCTTTTCAACCCTAGTGTCAAAGAACAATGATCATCCTGGATGTTCATTATGCAACCAGACAACATGCCAGGGTGACAAACTAGCATCCCTGTTGACCCCCAGACCTAGGCATTAATCTAAGCCAATTAGTATAAAACAATCCAATGAGGAAATTAGTGGATACTGAAGCCACTAATGTTAATAACTGGAGAAAGAACAGATTGTGTGGATTTGTTAGCATTGTGTTCACCTGAATTTGAATTGGACCTTATTGGGAACCTATAAAGGGCCAGCCTTGAGAAACAGAAAGTAGTTGGAAAGCATTGGATCCAGATTTATACTTGGTCAGCTGCACTGGGGAAGGTGGACATCCTCACTGGCTCTTTCCCCCAAACTCTGAAAATACTACAGAAAGACAGGCATGAGGCATGTGTGGAGGATGGGAATTCCCACTAGTTGGGTCAACAGACCTTTTGTGGGTGGAGAAGGTAGATCCTGGATCCAAGTCAATATATCCACCCAAGCATGTGCATAGTGCGGCTTTGTATTGGATGGACACAGAAAGCCCTCATGCAAACTCCCTCATGCAAGGGAGGATTGTTTTCATTTCCAGGCAGACGTGACAGTCAAGCAGAAGTCACTACCAGCATCACTCTCCTTTACAGATAACACCTTGCACCACAGACTGTGCCTCATTCTGAAACAGCACGCACAGTGACACACGCTGTTCTCTGGGATTAATGCCAGTTGTGTTGAAAAAATACAATTTGTGCAGCAGTGTAATTACATTCAGTTATGTAACAGTCTGTGACTTAGCTAAAGTGAATCTTCCCTCTAGGGGTTTATGATGACTGGGAGTTTTAAGAAATTGTCTATATACCATACCTTGCTTTCCATAAAAAGGATTATGCAATTCATAGTTATCAGCCAAACATGAATTTAGTAGTTGCTGAAATTTACCCACAGGCTGTGGGATAATTTTTTGTTCTAGCTTGAAATAGATCAATACAGTTACGGGAATAAACCTGTGCACGTTTACACAGAAAAAAGTTCTACAACAGAGCAAGCCAGAGTGGGGACGAACTTTGCAGAGGATTGCTGTGCCATGAAAGTGGCCCGCATAGCTCTTCAGGAGTCAGCCAGGTCCAAATGTCTGGCTCTGAAAGAGGTGTCCCAGGAAAGTACCCATAGCAGAGTAGAAGCAATATATGAAGACAAACTTCCCATAGTGCCTTGCTCTGAAGGACTCCTTCAGAATCAAGCCATTGGTCTCGGCCGTAACTGACTCTGAATTGCTCGGTCAGCTGCTGTAGCAGCCCTGAGAACACAGGTGACAACAGTAGCGAAGTGGATGGTTTATGGGATGAGGACAGGGACATGGCCATAGAGGGTGATGCAGGCACACAGGAGAGTTTGTGCTGGTGCTTAAGAAGTAGAAAAATCCTTGTGTGAAGGGGCCTTCCCATTTCTACTTCCTTGTTGTATCCCTTTGTGCTACCAAAAAGCCTTTTCCCAGTTTGGGAAATCTGTAGGAAAGACATGGCATGGGACACAGAAAGCTCCAACACGATGAGAGAAGTCAACCAAGATCAGGCATCTTGTATAGACAGTGATCCACTCATTTAGGGTTTCTCCACTCAGACCTCCCACTGCACTCCAGTTCTACCCCACCTGTGCTATGCCACGTCTTGGAGCTTTGCTGAGAGCCTCCTGATCTTCGAGGGAGATTTCGTAGAGTGGGCACCCTGGAAGGGAAGGAAACCTTTGACATGAGAACTTGTAGCTCTGGAGTTGTGGATTCAGCCACTATGATTAGTCAGAACACATCATAACTCTACCCTGTATGGCTGAAGACAATTCAGCAAATAAAATGAAGCAGATAAAATCCTAACCATGAATGAAAAAATATTCATGTATATAACTTATATTTAGATTTTTCTTCTTCTGGTTTTGATCTGGATGTCAAAGAGCATTATCTCTAAATACTGATTGGGCAGAGTATCATTGCTAAGTTATATTTAGATCTTCTTCTTCTACTAATATTTCCTCCTCCTCCTCTTACTCATCTTTTTCCGGATTTGATCTAGAAGTCAAACAACATTATTTTTTAAAATTTATTTGGGTATTTTTATCCCGTCCAATTATGTTGCACGTCTGGACAGCTTATAATCAAACACCCAATAACTACATATAAACCCAAATAATCCATAATAATCTATGACTGAGCATAAAACATAGTTAAAATACTTAAACTTTGAAATTATGGGAAAATAAAAAGGTCTTGACCTGGTGCCAAAAAGCATATAAAGTCGGTGCCAGGCAGATCTCCCCGGGGAGCACATTCCAAAGCCAGGGCACCACCACAGAGACGGCTTTCCTCTGAGTATGGTCTCTCCTAACCTCCTTCAAGGGGGGTTCCCGGAGCAGGGCCTCTGCTGCAGATCTTAAGGGGCAGGTGGGCATGTAGGGAAGATGTTCCTTCAGGTATCCTGGTCCCAAGCCATTTAGGGCTTTATAGGTCAATACCAGCAACTTAAATTGGGCCTGGGCTTCAATGGGAAACCAGTGAAGCTGATAGAGGACCAGTATTATATGAGAATAACAACCAGCCCCCGACAGCAAACTGGCATCTCTGTTCTGAACCAACTGAAGTATCCGGTCCATCTTTAAGGGCAGCCCTTATCTCTACTGATTGAACTCAGTAGCGTTGCCCCACTTTATTTTTTTAAATACAAATTTATTTTTTCCAAAATTTTTCAAAATTTTGTGGTTATCAGACACTTTAGTGTAAGTTAAATACAATATATTCAGCATAGATTAATTAAATCTTTCATTTCTTTAAAATGGATGTTGAAGTCAGAAGTTTTCTGACTTAAGCATGCATGTTGTCTCCTTGTTTGCAACATTCAGTCCTACAGGTAGGCCTCTAGGCACAAATTACTGCCCTCATAGACCAAACCCTAAATTTGCAAGGTAATAGTCCTTGAGGATGAAGAAATAAGCATTCCTTGGTATTCCAGTCCTATCTAATGCATAATATAAGTCATAATGCTTTAATAATGCTTTTTTGTGAGCCGCCCTGAGGCTTCGGCGAATGGGGCGGCATAGAAATTTTCTAAATAAATAATAAAGAGAATGCACCCAAAATGTGCACTATAAGAACATGAAATAAAGTATATTAAAGAAATAGTGTATATTATGCATGAAGTAAGTATATTAAAGAAAGTATGTGCAAAATTCTGTATTAGGAGAAACATTTGCAAAAAGACAACTTAGTGCAAACAATTGTGTACGGCTACATACAAAATGCATACATTTTGATAAATGTGCATGAAAATGCATATAAATTTCCATGCAGGCTTTAAGAACTGATCCTGAAATGGGACAGAAAAAAAAAATATAAGCATAGGAAAGATAAGAAACTGAGCAGAGGCGAATTTGAATTTTTCCGATTTATCCATCCTTAGTTTAGAGCTCACTGCACTGCAACAGCTATTGCCCATTTCACATGACACATTTTTAGTAAGCACCTTTTAAAGCTCCTCTTTCTGTACTTATTAAAAAGGTAATGTTGGAAGACAAGTCACGCTTGAGCTATGGTACACAAGAGACCATTGTGCTTGGCAAAGTCAGACAGAGAGACTGATCCCACAACTAGTCCCCGCTGAGAGATATCATTGTAATTAGACATTCAGTTACGAATGATTTAACCCCAAATTCAATGTCCTCTCCATTCTTGACATTTTTCAAAGATACTCTTTTTTCTGCCATCATCCAGGGAAATAAGAACACTGCATAGTTTTTATTGTTTAATGTGTTCTGTAAATCACTTTGGAGACCATTTGATTCAAAGGCAAACATAAATTTTCCAAAAGAATGAAGAAATATAGCCATTAAAATTATTCGCACAACTTCAGACCTTTCATAGCAGCCTTTAGGTGCCTGAATAGCCCAGGTATTCAGAGTATTCAAACTTCAGAAAGTTGGCCTATATAGTATATTTCTATCAACTTTCTTCCCTTGGGAGGGAAACATTCAATAAGAGTTTTTACAACCCAACCGCAGCCCAGAATTTTTTTCTGAGAGCAACAATTCTGCAGTCATTGGAACCTTAATTACATTTCCATGTTCTATGTTTCCAATAATAAAATAAATTTAAATCCAGTTCCCAATGGAAGCTGTAAACATGATGCCATGACAATCATAGGCCATTTGGGTTCTGTCTGATACCATTATGAATGTCGTAAACATTATATTGGCTTTGAATCACCACTTGTTTTCCTGATTTCCTGCTGCAGCAAAGAGATCTGCGAGGCAAATGAAACCATCATGTGCCCAATGTGCGAGAAAAATTGCACACTGCAAAAACTTAATGAAAGCTGCATCTACGCAAAGGTAACTGTGCTTGGTACTCTCAGATCCACAAATGTCAAGTCCAAACTATTCTAGGTGCTGATTCAGTTAAAGGTTCTTCTATAGGATGATGGTGTTTGTTTCACTAACAAGCAAAAAATGAAAATGCCTTCAGTCTTCATGATCTTCCTTTCACAAGGAACATAGCTGCATTCGGCTGACAATGTCTATTGTGATAGAAGCTAAAAATGAACTGAATATTGTGTCTTAATAGCTTGGCCTTTTGCCAAACTATTGATGGTGCTGTGAGGGGCAGATGCCAGTCTTAAAAATAGTGGATATTTTTCCATTCTATCCACCACTCTTCGAGAGAATATTTCTGTCCTGCAGAGGAAGAGAAATGTCAATGTAGGAAATGTCTGCTGAGAGGAAAACTTATCCATATTAAACACGCAGAATCCCCTTCAGTATTTTTCACATGTACAATTCAAATACACCAAAAATCCAATTTTATTGTTGCAACTGATGCAGTTAAATGGCCATCCAAATGGAACCAAGGGCAGAAATATCACAACAACTAAATTCCAGAGCCTGGGAGAGAGCCACCACTCCCATCCTGACATATATAGACATTTATTGCCCTGAACAGAGAAGGCTTTTGAAGAGGCACAGGATCTGAATGGGATGGTGGCCCTCGGTGTCCTGCTCCAGCAGGCAGTTGGACCCAATGGCTTTCTGGCCTTTTCCAACTCTGCTATTCTGTGATACAACCCAGAATTCTGGCTATAAAAAGAATAGTACTCCTATTAAAAAATAAAAATTTGCTAAAATTGTAATGGAAAAGGGCTATCTGAATGACAAAGGTTTAAGGAAAGTAATTAAGCATGTCAAGGCGTCAGCATTTTGAAAGCATCCTTCAGCAAACTGTTCATCCATTTTGGCACCCTCTGGTCCCTGAAGCCACCACCTAGGAAGCACCATGCTCCTCACATTTAAAGTGCTTTCACAGTTCTGCTGCAAACCGATGGACTTGGGAATTGCACTCAACAGAGCAGTTAAGTCTTGGCAATAAAGACCAAACCACCTACATAAAAGATTGTGCTTAAAAGGGAAGCAAAGAAGCTCAATTAAATGGCAAATTGAATTAACTGCATGTCTGAATTAAGTTCAAGAGTGCTTGTTCTAGTAAGCTTGCTCATAGCCACTCCACTTGCTTTGAAATTTGTCGACGCATTGATACGGTTAATGAACTTGGGTTTCATCTTTACATTCAGTATAGTAGTGCAATCTCCATATTACTGGTGCTTGATGTAGTTGTTTGGTAACAATTTCAGTGTTGGTTGTCTTTGATTAAAAGCAGACCAACATAAAGTGGATTTAATCCTTTAATAATTCCATTATTTGCATGATCTTTTTGTATTTCCTTCTCAGGTTACGCACTTATTTGATAATGGAGGGACTGTCTTCTTTGCCATTTTTATGGCCATATGGGGTAAGTAGTTTTTGTTTTTCCTGCTACCATATGAGAGAGAAAGAAAGATAATATATATGTTGAAATGATTGCTGTTATACTTGCGCTGGATGTATATTTCTCTACATCCCTGAGACCTACTCTTCCATGTCCAGGGAATAAACATTTCAGGAACATGAGTGCTAAAGGAAATTTCTCCCTCTGCAGACCCTGTTTTGGTCTGCTGGAGAACAGACTCTTATCAGCTTGTGAAAGATGACAAAATAAAACCTTTGGAAATCTTGATTGAGCATGTCTTCAAAGGCTTCAAAGGATTACTCTCTGTGTGCGTATGTCAAGTGCTATTGTTCCAGCACTGAAGGGTAGATTGATCTCTAAAGCTGTCACTGAAATGAAAATGAATATTCACTGGAAGACAGTGACATTTTAAAAAAAAATGCTACTGAGATAGTCTGGATGATAATACTTCATCCCACTTATAAAATTATACAGATTTCTCACATTCAGAATTAACAAATTTACACGCTACCCTCAGAGAATGGGCCAGAACCTCTTCCTCTCTGTGCACCGTGTCTCTGCTCCTTTCCAAGCGTTTCCTCTCTGTTAATTCTGTCTCGTCTCACCTTCGCTCCCATCCCCACCTTCTTCCATCTCATCTTGCTCCTGCATGTATGTGTCCTGGCTCTCTCGGTCATGTTCTGTCTCTCCTTCTTTCTCTCCTTCTATGCCAATGGTACAAAGACGACGTAGTCACTGCCCTTATTACTAACTAATGCTTTAGACAGCAGGAAGGGGATAACAATCAGCCCCATGCACTTCTTAAGCAGTATAGTTTCCTCACTTTTGGTTCACATTGGCTAACCTTGCACTTCAAACTGATTGACTAACAGAATTCAGTGCTTCTTTGAAATTTGCACTTCTCTGAATTTTGCATTGGATTCCTCCAATCAAAGGATTCAGAGAAAAATGTGTACATTTGTACAAATAACTTCCTAAGTTCAGTATATTAGGTGAATTGCTTGCAAACCTTCATCAATACTGCACACCCAAATCTATGACTTCAGAAAAATGTAAGACTGCATATGGATTGCAATACAATCTTGCATTGTAAGATTGCATATGGATTTGCATGCAATCTTTAAAAAAAGTGAAGTTCAGAATGAATTGAACTTAAGACTGGAAAAACGGAGAAACTGAGAAATCAAAATTGACAGGCTCTGCCATCCTTACACAGCTCTGCCTACCTTGTCCCTTCTTCTGGCAGCCAAACTGGAGCAGCTGCACACTTTCTTTCCGTCTCTCCTGTTAGCCACCCTTTCATGCCTGCATCAGTGCTCACGGCATGTTTCCACTGGCCCAACAGTACAGCATCCTGTTCTCTGCCTGTGTCTCCTGCTTGCCTATTTCTCAGACTGCTGCATGCACTGTTCATGGTGAGCCTCGTCCCTGCCACACACACAATATGGTGAACTTACTAGGTTTTTGCACTCAAATGGGAAATGCATTGCTGGAGTAATTTAAGTGTCAGGGAGTTTGCTCCCAAATCTTGTCTGAGCTGTTACCATCAAATATTAGAGATTCTCTTTTGAATTTGTTTTCTCGCTTTTGTTCTCATTGTAGTGATTTATTATAATAAATAAGCCACAGTGCCCTTACTGTGGGCAGCCTCATTGATCCTGGTAGGCTTTTGCTGTAGCACACCCTTGTTGTAAACTGCCAGAGAGTGTTGGCTATGGGACAGTATAGAACTGAAATAAACAGGCAAATGAATGAATGAATGAATGAATGAATGAATAAATGAATATGACTTGAAAGGGAATGCTGTGTAGAACAAGCCTCAGATCTACCTAAAGTACTCTCTTATTTGGATCCTACAGTGCGCCGTGACAATTTGGTGAGAGGTGTAGTGGAAATAACTTTGTTAACATAATATACAAATCTTTGTTTTCTTTTGCTCATATCACATTCCGAACCCCTGGGATTATGAAAGGGGAAACTGTATCTCCAAAATTGTTTGCATGTCATGAAATAAGCAAATTTAATGCTTTCTTAAGGCAATGCCAGATCAATGCAGTCCAGCAGAAACCAAAACTAGGTAAGAGATAACTACTGTCTAATGGGTTTTGTGGTGCTTACATGAATAGCCAACTGCCTTGTTGGACTCACTTGAGAGAGGAACGGCTGCTACTCATTTGAACAGAGTGCTATTGGATTCTTTATTATATAGTGACCTGACGGTGCTCTTTTAAACATGTATATAGGCAGGTTCTTCAGATGCTTACTTGGGGGATATTAAGAGGCATCCTGTACCCACTGGTCTGAAATTCCCTAGATTTTCATCCAAATAGCTTCCACAACTGAAAGTTCAATGCTGATATAGACTTCTTATCAGTAGAAAGAAACTGGGAAGTTTCTTGTGGGGAAGGCCCTGGCCAACTTTGCACATCAGCACCAAAATGAAGTGTTTTAGTCTGGGCAGTTTGTTTAGCATTCTGACATGCGAATTCTTCTTGGCTTGCTTCATCATGCTTGGCCTTTTTCAGGATATCTTCTGTTAGGAAAAGAGAGTAGTAGTAGTTAATGGATATGTCAAGATGGTCAGGTAAAGAGGGCATCTATATCATCTCTCAAGCATGTGTCCAACACCTCTAGCTAGAGGTCAAGAGAATTACAGGACATCAATTTCTCTTTTCTTCCCTATTTCATTTCCTTCATCTAGTATGAGTCAATACTGTGACACATGATGCTTTTCTTACACAGAAGTACCTTCCTAGAGTAAAAATAAATTGAAGACCAAATGTGGAACAAATGCTATAGTGGCTTACTTGGAAGCCAGTGGAAATATTATTTTTACAAGGTATTGTGTCCTTCCACCAAGAGGTGCAGAGCAGCATTTGTGAGTTTACCCATTTTCTCTTTATAACCCTGTAAAATAGGCTGAGCTGGTGGACTGTGATATCCCTATGAGAGTCAGGATATTAACTGGATTTGTCCTACCAGGCCTCTCCATCCAGCCTGCAAAGGCTGGTAGGAAGGACCCACCCACTTCTGGCTCATTGGGAAGCCGCTGCTTCAAAGCTCTGGGAGACTTCAAGTTGCAGTTTCCATAGGTTTGCTTTCTGCTCACATTTACCTATGAAAAGGGTTAGGATCAGATCAGAATCACCCCCTACACTGAGTTGTTTTTCCAACATAAGGATATAAAAGCACCTCCTACACTGATAAAGTTGAAAATCCAATGGATATTCTTGAATTGGCCCCATGAATTCTATTCCATCAACCTGGCCCTGACTCAATCTAACAATGGTCAAGTCAGCAAATAGATTTACTTTTTTTTTAAGGGCCACAATTTGTGTTATTTTTTTTTAAGTCAGGAAAATATGAACAAAATTCATGCATCTGCTCTACAACTTTGTGTGTGTTCTGTGATTTTGTACAAATCTGGAATGGAATTTTACTCAGATTTGAAATCAACCTTCAGAAAATTCAAGGTGGCCAAGGTGAAATATGTGCACATGGTGACAAAAACATATTTCCATACCCCATGTTTAAATAACTACAAGAATAGCACCCATTTGTACAAATCTCTGTGCCAATCAGCATGAGAGATACACAGTCCTCAGCTCCAAATATGAGCAAAAAATTTGATCAGTTTGGCAGAAGTAAAAAAACAAAAGGAACAAAACTTAGAGGCCCAACTTGCACATTTCTGGCCAACAGGTTGTAAATATGTTGGAAGTTCATCAAGAAAACCAGAACAAGTTTTTCAGTGTCACACATCCCTATCAGAACATCTTTAGCTGGAGCTAGTTCTCTGTTTGCACCAAGAAGTTTCCCTCCCTGCCCTAAGGACATCCCCAAAGCTTCCAGAAGTATTTAGGTGTGATCTCAGATCAGTTGCATCTCTATTCCACCCTGCTGGCTGCTGTTCTGGAATGCAGCTACCCATGTAGGGGAAAGACGTAAGCTGCTTTCAGATATAGTACAGTCAAGCAATTTTAAGAAGCACCTTGTATGTACTGTGGCATCCACTGTGATCTGGAAGTATCTCTTCACTCATCGCAGACCTCCTGTGATCCAAAGGACATGCCCCTCAAGAGTTAAAGAGATCTGCCTTCTCTTGACAGGAATGGGTAGAATGCCCAATATCTAATAACAAAATTGTGTCACTCTGTTTGTGTTTTTATTTTCTAAGGCTGATAGAAGGGAGTAATAAACATCCCATCTGTGGAAATGACCATCTGTTGTCCTTATGTACCAGCTTTGAGAGCAAACTAAATTTGCCATTAATTGTTTGAATGCAATTAACGGACACATTTTTGTTATGTGAATAGCTGACAAAGGGAAGTATGAACAGTCTTTGAACTGGAGATTGGGGGATAGAGCGGGAGAAAAAAATTAACTCTTTTGCTACTTGTAATGGCTGTGACCTCTCCAAAGCTCCTATTTGCCTTCTAATGGAAATCTCTGCTGGGGCTAGTGAGGCTTCCAGTGATGTGCAGTGTAGAGATGCAGTTTCTAAACCCTTGCCCCAATCTAATCATGCTTAGCTGTCTCGGGGTGACAGAACGGGAATGGGAAAATGCATCCCAGTTAAATGAATGCTGTGCAAATAAATGTTGTTTGCATTAGATGCTGTCCCTTATGCATAGAGCTCATGCATTGAATAAGGAAATCTCTACAATGTTATTAAAGCAGTAGCATAACTGGGCCACAAACAGAGGGAACAATCTCAAGATACCACCAAGGTAGTATCTTTTCATGGGACTTTTCACCTGGTGCTGAACAAGTGCAAACATTTAACTCAGAATTAGTTTCAACTATCAAGTGCTTTCCCAGACATTTTTCTAGTGTAATATTATATAATATTTATAATCCTACATTGTTTGTGACTGATCTAACCAAATGTAGCCCACTAATAGTACCCAGAAAGAAGGGATATTGAGCACCTGTCAGGTTAGGGTACATGGTTCAAGTATACTTTTTCTTAATAGAGCTCAAGGAATGGAGTCATGTGTTGCTCAGATATTAACCAGGCAGATATTACTGGTACCCTTTCATGTGTATTTATTCCCCAAAAGAAGCCAGTGGCCTGACTTCAGTCATTTTTCTACATAGCCAGGTGTAGGAACATACTATAACCTACACTGAAGATAATAATTGGGAGGTACAAAGGGGTAATTATGGCAGTTGGATTTCTTGAAAAGAAATTGGCAAATTCACTCCCATATTAAAGAATCAGTTACATGAGAAAATTGTCCAAGTGTAAATATTCTTAAGGTCAGTGTCTTTCCTAGAGCAGATGGCGGGGGAGGGCTGGGAATTCGCTAGTAGCTACTCTCTGACTATTGAACTACTGTGATATTGGTCTTAGGTGGCTGCTCACTGTGGCTGCTCAGAACCCTCTCAATATGGAGCATCCAACAGAGTCAGGAGGAATGAGAATACAAGAATTCTCTGCACTTTTCCCACCCTGTAAAAGGCCAGTTTTGGTGATCTGTGTCTTTTGGCCCCTGCTCACAAGGAAGACGGGCTGAGGTGGAACCTCATTACTCTTCCCCCCGCCCCCTGGGACACCCTCCTTTTCTGGTTCAGACTTGCATATTTGAGGGCCATAGTCAGCACTCAAAGGACCAGGCTGGTGGCAAAGATGGAAAAAAGCACTCAGCACTCAGCAGTTGGAGTCCCAGCTTTGATCTTGGAAAGCAATGGACTGTGCCCTTATCTAGGGATAGGTACATCTGTCAATTGTTCCCTTTCCGTTTTCCCCTTTTCCAACCCTAAGTTCATTTCCTCCAAAACTTTGGAAAACATTTTTAAGAGTGCATGAAAATACATATGCATATTCTGTGCACTAATACAAACATTCAAAGATACATTTTTGCCTAATATACACAGTTTGCAAGCAATTTCTTGAAATAATACCTTTTACTGTTATGTTCACAAAAGCATGCATGTTTGTTTTTCTGCCCAATATACACATGTTCATGTGTTTCTTTTTATTGGAGAACTCCATAACAATATTTGGAGAAATATAGATTTTGAAGGATAACTGAATTTGATGCATTGGTTACTAAAATGCGTCATTTGGTAACTTCACATTAAAATGCAAAGTGAATAAATTTCTCCCTCATTCCCTTTTTAAGACAAGCAGCAGAAATATTACTCTCAAGTATGCTAGTTCTAATTTAAAAAACACATATGGGACTGGATTGACTTATATTTCTATTTACATTCATGGTATTTTCTATATCCTTGCTAGTACAATTAAATTTCTGTCTAGTCCAACATTCTGTTTCCAGGAGCAGACAGACAGATGTTTCTGGAAATGCACAGCACAAGTACAGATGTCCAGCATCTGGCAGTCTGAAATGTACTGGTTGCGAACATAGAACTTCCATTTTGTTATGATGGCTAGTAGTCACTTAAAAATTATTTTGCGTTATATGTACTTAAAAAAAAAAGTTCTTTTTGAGAGCCATTCTGGATTTGTGGGTGTCATCTCTTCTGGTAATGAATTCATTAGTTAATCTGTGGACATGGCCATTAAGCAATGCTTTTCACACATTGTTCCAAACCTTGCATATCAGCAGGAACAGAATTTGTGTCACCAAAAATATCTTTCAAAGAAGGAGGAGGAAGCGGAGGAGGGATATGAGTTTTCAAAACTGACACCAGTATAATACTATTATGAAGGGTGCGATGAAGTCATGTCATTCATTGGAATGGAATCACAAGGTGTTGCGATGCTGTTCGGTGCTGCCGTCTCATCAGCTGCCGTAGGGTTGTAGTATGAGTCCTCTCCAAAGCTTGTGCCATAAGGTTCAGGGATATTGTCTAGTCGCAGAACTGCAAGGTACATACTCAGAGTTATTTGAAGATTTTCAAACAATGCTTCCTTGGGCATCTTTTTATATATATGTATATTTATATATACCGGTATGGAAATAAATAGGATTATATATTAACTTCTGTCCACACATTCGACTATGTAGGCACTACTATGCCTGGAAAAAAACTTAAGACTGTGGAATCAACTAAGTAATTAAGTCTGGGGAATTGTTCCAAGACTGCAAGTCACTCAGCAACAGGAAACCTGTCTTTCTTTTACCTGTTTAATATAATGGTTTCAGATGTTAGTATGAAAGCCCTAATGTTTTCAAAGTTCAACCCTCCATTAGCAGGTGGAGAAAAATGTGCTCCAATAGGGTTGGAAAAGAACTCATAAAACATTGTGTCAGTCTTCTTACAACTCCATGCTCCAAGATCCCTCACCTATGATGAGAGGTGAATTGCTAAATGCTGTAGAATGCCCCTAAAAACCTAGTGAACAATTGATAGTATTCATCTTATACCTTTTATAGTAAATGTTACCCCTCTAGGAATGTCTGCAATATAAGGTATAAAGTGACCCTGAAAATTGTGCTTAAATTTATTAGGGCACAGTCCAGTCCAGATGCCCCTAAGTCTCCGGACTCAGAGGACTACAGGCATCTGATGCAGGGTGGAAGAAGCATAGAGGCAAAGTTTGCCACCCTGAACCTCCACTCTGCAAAGTGCTTAAGTGGCTGTCTAAGCGCTGTACTTCAGTGCATCAAGGAAGGAGGCTGAGGCACAACCAGGACACTTCATATCATGGCCCCATGGGCCTCTTTTCCTCCCTGCCCCCTGGAATGCTGACTCAATATCTTCTATGAGATGGTGGCCTTAAAGAAGCAGCCAGCACAGGTCTTCCCATGCCACCAGTAAGTGAGGACGGCTACTCCAAGCTCAGAGTACCATCTCCACCCTCAGAGAGTTTCTGAGGTCTGAGCTGGATCTCCAAGGACCCTATGGCCCTAACATCCAAGATGCTGTCTAGCAGCCATACAATGGAGTTGTCTGTCATTCGTCATGGAAATAGCAACTATTTTTCATACTAGACAAATAACTGACTTGGCTTAATAGCTCTATAAATGGCATTAGGGGTTAGTATTACACCACAGATTTACAAACCCCTGAAGTTTCAAGGCATTTGGATTTTCAGGTGGAATATTTCTGGTGATCCTGCAGAACTGCTTTTAGCTGATGTTCAGAACTAGTGCTTTGGGGGTCATTTTGATCCCAGATAAAACTTGAGAGGTTCACATGTAATCTGTGCCCACACCTCGGCAGGTCACCAGATGTAACAGCAACTCTCAGTCAAGGATTTTTAATGACCTCATTTCTCTGTTTGCAGGAAAATCTTTTCACCACTGAGAGTTGCCCTCAGGCAACTTTGTAACACAGCAGGCCTAGGAGTGGCTGAGAAACGAACATCACATTTACAGAGTACAGCTTTGAATAAGACATCTGATTACTTTTTCACCCATGTGCCAAGGAACTAGTTGAGAAAAAAAACCTGACAAAAGAAAGCACCTGTAATTCTTCCAGTTCAGATCCATAAGTGCCAACAGCAGTATTTGTAGTTTTCAGGGTTTACACTTGTAGGGTTTGTGCCAAAGAAAGGAAGAGCAGCAATTCTCCTAAGTTCAGTGGATATGTTGCACTCCCCACAAATCTAGACCTGAGATCACTCTTTAGTATAATAAAGCTAAACGGAGCATAGACGGCTGGGACCGCACTTCCAAAGGCACGATCAAAGGTAGCCATGCCGAGCAGTAGCCATCACCGGCTTAAATGCCTATGTTGTTTGTACGGTGGACAAAAGGAGTGGAAGTTCCAAAAGGCCAGTTGTCCTAGATCCAGAGTTGATCAAGCTCTGCGCTGAGCTCAGAAACATTGCCAGCTTGCTTATTATTATTATTATTTAAAGCATTTTTATGCCACCCCCTTTGCAACAAGCCTCGGGGTGGCTTACAAAGCAAATAAACAAATACTGAATACAATTCGAAAACCCGGATACATCTCAGCAGGTGTATAATAAATAATAACAACAATTAACAGTTAAAGTATCGTTTAAATAAAAAGGTCATGGTCTGGCGCCGAAAAGCAAATAACGACGGCTCCAGGCGGACCTCTCTGGGGAGCGCGTTCCATAGACGGGGTGCCACCACAGAGAAGGCCCTCCTCCGGGTACTCACCCTCCTAATAATTTTCACAGAGGGCTCCCAGAGAAGGGCCTCTGCCACCGATCTCAGGGGGCGGGAGGGCATATATGGACGCAAGCGCTCCTTTAGATAACCAAGTCCCAAGCCGTTAAGGGCTTTATAGGTGATAACCAACACCTTGAATTGGGTCCAGACTTCAATGGGAAGCCAGTGAAGCTGACAGAGGACTGGGGTTATGTGAGAACAACGCTCAGCCCCCATCAGCAACCTGGCAGCTCTGTTTTGCACCAATTGAAGTATCCAGACCGTCTTCAAGGGCAGCCCCACATAGAGCACGTTACAGAAGTCTAATCAGGAAGTTACCAATGCATGTGTCACTGTTGCCAGGCAATCGTTCTCCAGGTAGGGACGCAGCTGATGGATCAGCCAGAGCTGGAGGAAAGCGCTCCTCGCCACCGCTGTTACTTGAGCTGCCAACAACAGCTCTGGGTCAAGGAGCACTCCCAAGCTGCGGACCCTGTCCTTAAGAGGGAGTGCTACCCCATTCAGGACAAGGTCACGGTCCCCCACCCCGAAGCCCGAACTGCCTACAAACAGGATCTCCATCTTGTCGGGATTGAGCTTCAGTTTATTGGCCCTCGTCCAGCCCATTACCTCAGCCAGGCACTGGTTCAATACAGCCACTGCCTCACCTGGATTGGTTGAAAACGAGAGGTAGAGCTGGGTATCATCAGCGTACTGATGATTCCGCAGCCCACACCTCCTAATGACCTCTCCCAGCGGTTTCATGTAGATGTTGAATAGCAATGGGAACAAAATGGACCCCTGCGGAACTCCATGGCATAACTGCCATGGTGCAGAGCCGTAGTCCCCCAGCACCACCTTCTGGAAACGGTCATTGAGATAGGAGCAGAACCACTGCAAAGCAGTGCCTCTGACCCCCAATCCCGGTAGCCTATCCAGAAGGATACCATGGTCGATGGTATCGAAAGCCGCTGAGAGGTCCAGGAGAACCAGCAGAGACACACTCCCTCTGTCTCTCTCCCTGCACAGGTCATCATACAGGGCGACCAAGGTAGCTTGTGAGGGAAAGAGAGGCAGACTCAGAACTGCTAGGGCCTAGCAGTTGACACCAAGAAAAAAGTCTGGTGTCATCTGTGTGGTTCATGCAAGGACAGAAAATCACAGCAAGGGCGTGCTTCATCTGATGGTCCTGTCTGTGCTATTCGTGTAGGTCCGAAATGTCATGATCTTCCAAAAGTGGGCACTGGGGTGCCAATGCTGACATTCCATTTTGCTGTCACTAGTGATGTGCAACCCATGATTACTGCACTGCTATACGTATGTAGCTATTACGATGATATCAAACATAAGCTGTGAGCACCATGCATGCTCTGTTGGGAGTGCCCTTCCCATCCCCTAACTGTGGCTCTGGAAAGGAAACATTTGACTGAAATTGCTGTTGAGCAGGAAGGATTTAACCCCCAACACTTGCCCTCCAACTGCAGAGCTAATAGCTCTCTCCCCTCTCCCATGCCGGCTATTGGCTTTCATTTGTTTTTTCCTTTGTTGTTTTTTTTAAGGCTGTGATTGCTCATCAGGTTGTAAGCATCAGATGAAGTAAGGCCCTACTGAAAGCAAAAGTAAATACATTTGGGTGCCAGTGGAAGAGTTCACAGACACTCTCTTTTCTGAATTTATACTACCTTCTTAGCTGTGATGTTCTGGGATTTGTGTTTGTGGAGCAGCTTGTAGCTTGAATTTTATGGGCTTGTTTTTTCTTTGCTTTTGTCAGAACACATCAATCCATAGCACATTGTTTCAGAGTGAAGCTATCTAGGTTTGGAATTATGTAGCTTTGTGCCCATTAAGGACCTCATTTGGACTGCCTCATTGCTGCTAATAGTTGCACAGGGCATAGAGCAGAATCACCCACAGTACAGCAAGTAGCTTAATATATCTGAAATTTAGAGGCATCGTATGGCACCAGCTCACTTTTGTGCAGCTGTTGTGTAAATAATGGAAGGGCCATAACAAACAGAATAAGCCGTGCTTGAAATCCTCCTCTAAGGCATTTTGAGATAACCGTTCCAGGGAAAGTGATGCATGGTAAATAAAGCAAAAAGTGCATTGTGATGTATTTTGGGGATGGCACAGACGTTGGCTTCTCACATATCTTTATGAACTGAGATTTGCATTCACATACAACTAGTAAGAGAAAGCCATAGAATTTATGAATTATTTTTCTGTTTTCACAGAGGGTATTGCAGGTTAACCAGAACAAATATCAAAGGAGTTGTGTTTGCTAGGTGCAGGAAAATGATGAAATCTTTTGGGGTACCTTCTAGAATAAAATTCTTATGGCATTAGGCTGCACAGGCCCAGCTAACTTAGACTTCTAAACCTCGCGAACTCTGCATCGGGTGATGATTGTGTTCGTGCTGGGGTGGGAGATGGCCGTGATTGTGCCCATGTTCCCTGCCCAAGCACACCCCCGCCTGCCCCCCCACCTGCACCCGCCTCCCCCCTAGCACACCCATGATCACGCCCCCCTCCCCCTACCCCCACACACAATTGCTGGAGGGGGGGGGGAGATGGCCATGATCTTTGTTGTTCTTTGTCACTTTGCTTCAAATTTTTGTGAGTGAAAAAAATAGTTGAGAATGGATTGGCCTTATTTACATTGACCCTTATTAGGAAATTTGACTTGACGCATGACCAATTTGGGTCATGACCAGAGTCCTGGAACGGATTAAGTACGTGAGCCAAGGTACCACTGTATTTGCCTGTTTCCCTACCTGGATCATTCCTGGTGTCATCATAAAGTCTCTGATGTCCAAAGGCTGCAGATTTTTTCTGTCCACACATAAAATACACAATGAGAACAATTAATGCTGATCCTAGTACTGCTCCTATGATTGCACCAAATATGACTGCTCCGTGTCTGTGTTTTTCTGAAAAACAAAAGGCAGTGGTGAAAAGTGATTACTTCCTTAAGCACCTCATGAAAAGGACTGCTGAAGATTTCAGTTCACTGCAGACTGTCACCATGTACTGAGATGCTGCCTAATGAGATTCGAGGATCCCTTGAGAGATTGTGATTCATAACCTCCATTTTTACCAATAATGCTGTGACACAGAGTCATTTTAAAAGTAATTGGGAAGACATACCTTTACCAGGACAAAGCTTCCCATTTATCTAGTTTCTGGATGCTTCAGCCGAGAGGCTTCAATGGCCATTCAAAATCAGAGCTATCAGGTACATCATTTTGATAGAGGCTTTATTGCACATTCATTCCTTGTGTTGAGTTCTCCCATCAATGTGCTTTTGCACACTTTCTTTCTTTCCGTGGCACATTAGGGGGCTTTAGATACCACAATTTTGAAGAAAAGCTTGGACGTAATGCAGGTAATGTTCTGTTCTTAGAACAGACTGTAAAATACATGTTGGATAAGCCTCCTACCGAGTCTACAGGAGCAATTACAATATAAAACTGATACCTTTTTGAAGCGTGGCTATTCTTTCTCAGAGCTATTTTACTCAAATTGAATGATGTATTCCAAGGGCATATCTATTTGTATTGCACAATTTCTAGAAAGCAAGGCACTCAAGTTTTCAACTAACCAATGTATCACTGAATAGTTGACTGTTCCTGAACTATCAGTGGTTTGGATCCTATGCGCCCATAAGTGGAACTCAGTTCAGGCTCTGCTTCCACTGGTAGAAAGACAGAAGCATTTTTTTGCTATATGGACCTTCTGTTGGATTAGAGGACCTTCCATAAACACAGCAAGCCCATCCTTTTATGGAAATCCAAGTTAGGTTCCAAGACCGTTCCTTTACATTGCTTTCAGGGCATCTGCCAGGCCTGCCCATAAGTTCAATATTTAAGGTTCCCAAGTGATAACTTGTTTAAATACATCTAAGAGCTGTATTTAAGAGCTAAAACAATGATGTTAGAGGCGTATCCAGTACAGTCCATTCTGCGACTATATCACCTCAGAATGCATTAGGTGACTTGTTTAAAAGTACCTCTAAATCCTGTTGGAAATGTTTCGGTTTGTTTGCACAGCAATTCATGACAGGAAAATCATTGATGATTTCCGTGTCACTGGACTTTTGCACATTTAATATCAAAAACATAATTAGTGTACCTTGTATCAATAGCTCATTTCTAACACTTTTGCATGGAGCCAGTTCACCTATTTTAGCTGCCCGTCATCGAACATCATGCAGTGAACCATACTCAGGTGGGTAATGGACTAAGGACCTCTTCTGGATATAACTTTTCCATGTGTCAGAGAGATCTTGACATGGTAATTCTTCCGAATCAACATTGCTAACATGGTGTGGTTCCACAAAAGCACTGTACTATGTGCTTTCTCTGGATATTGGAATCTGAAACTACAGGTCTATGTTGATGCAAGGTCAGAAACACTAGTGCATTATCTGAGAACACCTATAGTGACTTCTATAGGAATGAGATGAAACGCGTAGAGTATGTTGGCGTGTCACACTAGCCCAGCCTGGCAATAAGCCATGATGAATTTGTTGAGCTTACATTGGTTTACCAACAACCATCAGGCTTACAAAAGGTTGTTGACCCCTTCTCCAGCCTTGGACATTCCACAGGTATTGCAGGAGACACCACAACACTCCTTTCCCTATTATAATCATGAGAAATTTTGGGCCCACGATGACTCCCCGCTTCTACTGCCTTGTTTGTTTTGTTTGGAGATTGTAACAGCCAGCTTGACGGTCACTGAAGTTCCTTCAAAGTGCTGAAAAGAACCTGGGGGTTGTATACTGCAAATTGTTTTCATCCCTTTGATTTCTCTTGACAGCTATTGAAAGGTGAGCTGCCAAAAGAAACCAAAGAAGCTTTTGCTTTTGTGTGTGAAAATAGACTAATTTGGGAATTACATGATCCAAAAATTCATTCTCATGGCAAAATCTTATCCAGCCTCATGGCTAGTTCCCACACTGGTCCACATTTTGCATTTTTTTCCTGAGCCTCTGTGTGCTTATAGAGGTGCATCCCTTTCTTTTTCTAACCAAAAAGTGTTCTGACTGGGAAATCTTTTGTTTTAAAACAACTGGGACCTATGTTTCCGTCAAAAACTACCCATTTCCATGTCCGAATTCCCCCTTTTCACATACAAAAATCTCTCTCAACTTCTGTCAGGATACTCCTGTCAGGATACTCCTGACAGATCATCTTTTAACAGATTTCAAGAGAGAGCCAAGGAGAAAACATAATTTAGAGCCTAGGTTGAAAAATAATTTGGTAAAACTGAACAGATGATTATAATCTCAAAAGATAGGTTTCTTTACGATCATTACAATGTAAACTGGAATCATTTGTAGGTGTTTTTTCTGCAATACAAACAGGTCAACTCCCAAACCATTTCCCAAATTGCAACATTTATCTTCTAAAATCAAGTAAGCTGCAGTAGCAGGCTCAAGTCTGCATCTCCTGTAGATACAATATGGTTGCATTACTAATATCATTACACAGTGAAACGTAAAGGACAGTCAAGTTACCTTTTGGGGGTTCTCTTGCTTCTGCAGAACTATCTATCGGCTTGTGTTGTGGAGTTGTTTGATTACTTGTCCCAAACTCTGTTGTGGCATTGTAATATTTAGTGGTCTGTAATGTGCTTGAGGTAGTATTTGGTATACTGGTAGCAGGACGAACTGTTGTAGCATTCATTTCTGTTTTACTAGGTGAAATGGTAGTAGAGTTGACACTGGAGTTGGTCGTAGTGAAGTTCTTTACTGCTGTTACTGTTGAACTGGCATGGGTTGTGTAGCTTTCCTCAACTGATGATAACCTGCTGCTGGTTGTAGGCATCTGTGAAGGCAGCAATGTTCCATTGATACTTGAAGAAGAGTGAGTTATATCTTTTGTTGAAAAATGCTGCTGATGTGTCACTGGAGACGATGAAATGGTGGAAGATGTGGAAGTTACACTGTTGCTTTGAGCATTGTTTTGCGTCACTGTACTTTTCGTTGTACTACCATTGCTCCCTGTTGGTGATTTAAGACTTACAGTAGATGTAGGTAGGCTTGTGTTGGTGCTGCTTAAGCTGCTTATAGATAATGTGCTGCTGTCTGCATAGATGCCATTATTCCCGATCCACTGTAAACTAGCAAACAGTACAATCATTCCCTTCGAAATGAGCATTTTTTCCCAGTTGATATGAAGAGCCTGAGGAAGAAGTTGATATTTTTAGTATTTAATTTTAGATGTATATTTTAAGTGTCACAGGTCTGAGGACGGAATTTAATTCATGCACAAACAATGCTTGCAATTCCTATTCAGGTGCCTTAGCTGTGCCCAGGATCATGGGTCATGAAGCAGATTTCTAACTTATAATCATGGCCTTTCACATCTTCTCTGGTACATCAGGCACCTATGATGTTGAGTGCCATCTTAGTACACTCTCCTATGAAAAGTGTAAGTTAGTACATTTTGCTGCATTTAAGATCTTATTGGTAGGGCTCAGAGAGCAATATTATTGAGTTTAAATTGCCTGCTGATATTTGGTTCACTTCCACCTGTTGCTTTAATTGCTAGCTTATGACCTAGCATAACTAACACTCTCTAACTCATAACTAACCCACTAACACTCATGCAAACTTCAAAAAGGGTTTAGCTTGATCAAACCCCTGAGTTTTCCATTCTAAATGTCCTAGTTTAAAGCAAAGCAAAAATCACAGGATCACTAGCTTGGGTGTGAAGCAATTACACTGCATAGACAACACACCTTCTCCCTCCCTACCTCATTCTTCTCTTGTCTGTTAGGAAAGGGCCATATTCTGGTGGAACTTGGTTTCCCTATGTTAGGGATCTAGCATTATTTTCCATCAGGAGATGTGACCAATGGTGTTCTGAGAAACTTAAGTTGCTGGCATCTGGCTTGTCCCTTGATAAATTGGTGTCTCCACTTCTAAATTCAGTACTCATCTACTCTAATAGCTTTCTGTCACAACAACTTTGTTGTTTAAAGGGGTTTTCTCATGATAGCAGGACAGTTTGGTTTTACAGACAAGGCCTAATAACTGTCATTATTCTGGAACTAGATGGAAGACAGCATGTTGCAATGTATTTTCTAAATGTTCTGCCTTTCCCAGTGAGTATTATCAGAAATTGTTTTCTGTCAAATGGATTTCAGTGTTTTGTGCTTTCTGACAGCAGCAAGTATCAGAAAGCCTAACGCCAAACAGAACTGTGTGTTTGGTCTGAGGAGAGGAATCAGAACAAATACACCAGTCCATTTTAAGATAATTGTGCAAAGAAATCACACACTTATACATGTGGTTTGTTAACGGATATCAGTAACTCTGAAACTTATACAGATTTCAATATTTGATCATGTTTAGATAATAATACTGTCTAATCAATAAAGAACAGCTGTATTCTCATGTAAAATTGTGGGATTATTAAGCATCATGTATTTCCATATTTCCTTTCTCATTATGTGACCTTGACTAATTGCATCCCATCTTTCAGAATTAATGGGGTTTTTCCCCTGAGGCAATATCTTTTGGGGTAATAATGCAGAGATTTCTACATTCTCACAGCGATCTCACAGCCAGCCAGTGTGGTGTAATGGTTAAGAGTATAGGCCTGAGACTCAGAAGATCTGAGTTCTAGTCCCCGCTCAGCCATGGAGCCAACTGGATGACTTTGGGCCAGTCACAGACTCTCACCCCAACCTATCTCCCACTGTTGTAGGAATAAGATTGAAAGAAAAATGATCTAAACTGATTTCAGTTCTTTAAAAAAGAAAAAAAAAACAAGATAGAAATCAAATAAGTAAATATTCGTTCAGCAAACTATTTATACATTTATATGTAATGGCTAACAAATTTAACAATAGGTCTGTTCTCATTTGCCATGTAAACATTGGCTTGATTCATACAGATTCAATGACTTCAGTGATTTAGCATGATCCAGGCAAAGTTAAGTACATTCCAGTCCCATGAATTTCAAAGTTAAGCACATTGAAGTCCCATCAAGTTAAGCACATGCCAAAGGGTGAAACTACACTGGTGATGGAAATGTCAGCAGAAAAATCATTCTGATTAGCCGCCTTCTCCACAGCTGGTCTGCACCAGCCTTCAACCTCTCTCAAGCTCAACATTCTTATGAGAATTACACTCCCTCACAGATGCCAATGTGACCAGCCTGCGCTGTGAGTTATCTGGCAACGCTGAGCTGATGGGAGGAGCTATCAGTTCTAACTCTGCAGTTCTTTGATGAAGGCACTAAAGCTATTAAATAAACTCTAAATAATTAAATATATCTACTAAGCCAATGCTAAAGCTATTAAATAACATGTGATAGATACAAGACACTGCTATATGTTATGATGCAGAAAGAGAGAGAGAGAGAGAATGAGAAAGAGCTTGACACAAACACTGCATTTTTGATCGTAGGCCCATGACGATTACAAATTCATCCTGAATTTGTTGCCCTGAATCCTCAAAACTCAAAAATGCCCAAGTGGCGTCTATCACTAGCTTTAACCCATTGCGCAAATTTACCACAGCTAATTCGTGCTTTGTCTGTGTGGTCTCCATGCATGGAGGGAGGTCTCCTCTCCCCCCCCACCCTCAGCATTCATGCAATGTACCTACACACATTGACTGCTTTCATGCAGATGTCTGTGCCCAACACGTGCAGGTCATGTCTTCTATCACTGAGCCCTCTCTGGAGATGAAAATCACATGTGAAGGGAGCTTTTTCCTCCTCCCAGTTAGTCTTCATCACAAGGGCATTCCCAGCTATCATTCTCTTTTAGCTCTATTAGGAATATAGCCCATCCTCCTTAGCAAATTAGAGCGGGCTAATCTAGAAAAGCACACGTTTCATTTGCTTGTAAACACTTGCCCCAGTAGACAAATGCAAAATGAAAACAGATTATTTGCTGGATTTACTTTTATTGTTGTTGTTCTAAATACAGCTGCAATTATTGCTAATAGACTCAAATAATTATTTGGCTGATTTATTTTTCCCTCCTAAGTGGCAGTGTTCAATATGTAATTAATCTGCTTATCCTGGGTTACAAATACACTGAATGAACGTACAAAAACATTGGTTATACTCCATGACCACATCTTTTCCTGCTATTATAACTGATAGTTTAAAAGCCACATGAAGAACAAATAAAACATTAAGCAAGCTTTTTACAGGCTCTCAGATACACTTTTCTATTCCCAGCCATGCATGTTTTTTCCTTTCTGGCACAACCCACTTGACTTGCTATCAATAGCCATTTCATTACTGAACAAAGTGAGTTTTGTCATTTTTTATTATTATTATTTCACCTTGGCTGTAATTTGAAATGCCCGAGGGAAATCAAAAGTTCATTTAACTGAAGCTTTCATTTACAGGGCATGATGTTAAAACTGCTGTACTCACAACATAAAAGGCCCTTTCTTTTTTCTTTTTAAGGGGTGTGTGATAATCTTGACTCTATAATTTTCCACTTAGAAGGAAGGAGACAAAAACCAGTTGAGTTTATTTTTAGTTGTGCCCCAGAAATCCTTTCATGTATTAATAATTAACTTACTTTTTGTTTTATTTACCATTTTTAAACATCTAGACTTACATTTGTGGCAAAGGCTGGAGTGAACACCTGATCAGCCTTTTGTTCTTTGCATCTGATTTGAGCTTTGCATCTGATATCTTTCGGGCAGCTGGGTGCCCAGTAATACTGAAAGCCTATACACATTGCAAGAGTGCATTTGATTTTAGCAATTCATTTGTCACATAAATGTGAAAATACACTTTGGTGGAGGTGGGACTGCAAGTAAGCCATCTCAGTATTCTATAGGAGGAATCTCCCAAGAGCATATCAGTGGGAGGGTTTGGATAACACTTGGCTAGCGAGGCCATATTGCCACTCTGGGCTTAAGGCTCCCAGGACACCTCCTCCCCACCCATCTTCCCTTCCACCCAGTCCTCCCACCAGCAATCCAGAGAACACCATGGAAGCACTTTTAGGAGCCGACATCTACTTCTCTGGGCCGCACTCCTGCAAATGCTGGAGAACTGGGATTGTCCATGAGCAACCCCACTCTTCTAGCACTAGCAGAGTTCAAGGCAGGGAAGCCAGATGGGGCTGCCCATGAGCCAATGCAGCCAGGCAGAATGGCTGCCCTTCCTTCTCCTGAGGAGCTGCTTCTCAAGCCAGGGTGGATGCAGATGGACCTCAGAGCCATTCTGCACAGCACCCTCTGCCTATCCTCTTGCCCAGCTTATCCACGTACCTGTGGGCACCACAGAAAGCAAAAGTGGTTTCATCTTGACCTCTTCCTAGGGTCTCCACCCCACCCCAGATGCGATCTCTCCACGATAGCAGCTGCAGGCATGGAGCAGTTAGCAGTGCTTCACTTAACCTTGAGCAGCCCTCTCCCACATGCTCCCCCAGGGAGACTGTAGCAGCAGGGGCCACTGGGCTTGGCTTCCTCACGAGGAATTGAAGCTGAGCAGCCCTCCCCCTCTGCAGGCTGCCCTCACAGCCACCAAGCACGTTGCGGAGCTGGCACACAGGGTCCCGCCAATTCCACCCACCACACTTACCAGTGGGGTGTGCAGGGAGTTCAGGAGGCAGCACGCTGTGGGGCCAAGGAAGCCAAGCACTTCCTGCCTGCCACTGGGTAAGCAGCTGAATGACTCCCTCCCTCCCTCCCTCCCTGGTCCCTCCCTCAGCTGCAGCCACTGTCAGGCATGCAGTCATGCCACCCCTCCCCTGGGCAGCCTGCCTGGTTCAAATGACATGCTAAACTGCTACCTCCCAGTGCCATTGCAACCCAGGCAGTGTGTCAGATTCTGGAGAGTAATAGCCGGGCAGTGGTGCCACTGGGTAGGAATCTGGGGCAGAAGTCTAATGTCCCACTTAGCAGAATGGGCAGGCATCCTCTCACAACTCCAACAATCTCATTCTTCCCCTCATTTCATGTGAGGATGAGGAAGACCATAAGACCTTGAAGTCCCAGGTCCAAAATTAGCGAGGCCAGGAGACTGTGCCTTGAATATTCCTCTATATATTCCTTTGCCCAACTCACTGCTTTTCCAGAATGCGAAGCACACTTCTCAGTTTCTCACAACCACAGAGGAAGTGGGCTGTTGTTCTAAAGTATGAAAGATCCACATTAAGTGTACTTAGCTGCTGCTGTCATTGAATTCTG